GTTGGATTCATTCTATGTATTATAGTTTTCGAGTAAATAAATCAATGAAATGTAAAAACACTGCTTTTTCGACATTTTTTAAACTTTGAACACGAATTACAGCCAAACGGCTAAACCACAGATAATATATCGATACTTGCTAGATTCCCTAAACATCCAGCTTTCATATACATATTTTGGATCCATTGAATCTATTATACTTTTCGAGAAAATCACTAAAATGTGAAATTTATGAATACTCTCTACATTCCCCAAACATACAGCTTTCATATGCATCTGTTGGATTCATTCTATGTATTATAGTTTTCGAGAAAATCAATGAAATGTACAAAAGATGCATATGAAAGCTGTATGTTTGGGGAATGTAGAGAGTATTCATAAATTGCTTTGGTTTCATTTGGTTTCATTTGGCTTTAATTTGAGTTCAAAGTTACACATTCACATTTTAGTGATTTTCTCGAAAAGTATAATAGATTCAATGGATCCAAAATATGTATATGAAAGCTGGATGTTTAGGGAATTCATACATTACTATGATTTCATCCATTTCAGTGAAATAATTTGTTCGACTCAGAAACTATATACAAAATTATGTTTCAATTATTGCTTATTTCGTATCCAGAATGTATTGAAAATAAATGTGATAAAATACACTTACATTTTGGGTTCCTTGTCGCATTCCGAATATCGATGTCATCCTGGAAATGCTGCTCTTCGTCGACGATGGAAGAGCACGGGACGAAGAGAAGCGCGAAGCACGCCAAAAGTACAGTAAAAGAGTTCATAGCGAGCGATGGGTGCGAGGACCAAAACAAAAATCGGTCCCGAAATCTCTGCCGAATCCTTTTGTCCTCGCACCGCCGAAGGATGTGTTAATTTTGATTAGCGATTTCTGGGTCGAAAAACAGTAATCCTGAACTCATTCCATCTGAATGGTTTCGTTTTTACGAGACGCTAATTACCTGCTCAATCGTGATCGGCCGAAATTTTCGAACCGAAAAAGAATACAAACTTGAACTACATATTATTTCCAGATATACATTTGTCCTATGCTTACGTAACGGTACTTTGGGACGAATAACAATATCGGCAAGTCAAAGCAAGTATAAATATTTTCGTATGAGTAAACTGAACTAGGTAAAAGTGAAAATTTCCACGTAATACTTCCTTCGGGTTTACTCATAAGTAATTTTAGAAGAAATTTATTGACTTTACTAATGAAAAACAGAACAATTGAGTTCCAATTAGATTAAACAAATGAACTTGTTCATGGAATTTTCAAATAATCAGTTTAGTATACATTGTGTTTTAAATTATCATTAACAATTATACATTTACAAATTTATGAACAAGAAATTACAGGAATTCCCATTAAGGCCATTTAATTATAATTTGCCATGTTATAGACATTTGATGACCTCAAAATATAATATAATAATGTATATTTACTTTGCATAAAAATGATGCAACACTAAGCTTTGAATTAATCAACTTCAAATAAAAATATTTTGCAGATTTAACAAATTTTAAATAATTTAAAGTTTCAATTAACTTATTCCTCGAATGCAGGGTTTCTCAAACTGTTTAGGAAGTGTTCCGTTGCATTTAAAGTTTGGGAAATCCAGCTCTAATGGAAGAAGAAGTATAAACAAGTTTTCATTAAATTTAAACTATTTCAAATATCAACTATATCCTTGCATAGTTTTAAATTTTAAATCAACATTTTTGTTGAAATGTACTGTGATCAAAATTAGTATATATTCTGCAATTAATAACCAATTAGCAAAAATATTCAAACATTAACGATTATGCAAGTTTGTTTGAATTATTCTTATATGTTCATATGGTTGGCAACTCTGCCATATTTAACCAATTTGACAGGGTCTGACAGTTTGGAAACTTGTTTGTCATCCGGTGATTTGGTTTTTATATAAAGCAGAAGTGTTGTGATTGTTTTCGAATTGTAATAATAAAGTAGCAGAAATGGCCATGATGAATGATTCTCGTCCACACTATCCGGACTACTCCACGGCTGGAGCCGTACAGCATTCGTTCAACCCTTACGCCGATAACGGAGGGTAAATTTGAAAAAACATAACCTTAGTTCTTGTGATCATTAGTTTATCATTCGCCCAATTTCAGGAGTGTTGTTGCTATCGCCGGAGATGACTTCGCAGTAATTGGCGCAGACACCCGTCTCAGTACCGGATTTGCCATTTACACTAGGAATCAGAAGAAGCTATTCAAATTGACTGACAAGACAATCCTTGGCTGTGCAGGATGCTGGTGTGATACTCTCACACTGACCAGAATTCTGAACGCGCGTATGCAAATGTATGAGCAGGAGCACAACAAAACCATGTCCACTACTGCTTGCTCCCAAATGTTGTCAACAATGCTATATTATAAGCGTTTCTTCCCATACTACATCTCAAATGTCTTAGTAGGACTTGACACTGAGGGAAAAGGTTGTGTGTACAGCTATGATCCAATTGGCCATTGCGAGAGGTCCACATATAGGGCTGGAGGTTCAGCTGGTGCTCTGTTGCAGCCCCTATTAGACAATCAAGTTGGTTTCAAGAACATGCAAGGTGATGCATTTGAGAAGGTTACCAAGGAAAGGGCTATTGCCATCTTGAAGGATGTATTCATTTCTGCTGCTGAGAGAGATATATACACAGGTGACAGCATTGTCATCAATCTTATTACTAAAGATGGAATTACAGAAGAGACTTTCCCATTGAGAAAGGATTAATTTATCTTAAGAAATACATTTAACTGGAATGGAAAAAATTGTATTTAATCTTTAAAATTTCATAATAAAATATCTTTAATTTAAAATTCTTATACACTTTCTATCCAAATGATTCTTCTGTACATGAATATATATATTAATTATTTAACGCGATTTAATATTGTAGAATCAATTAGCGTCAAAAACGTTGAACTACTGAAGTACAACGGTCGTCAATAGATGACGTCTTCAAATTCATTCTTCATAATTTTATTTTTATAAATTTGGCATCGATTGACATTAGAACTGATCAGGACTATAACCTACAAATTTTTTTTGTTGTAATGTCCATTTCTTACCACTATTTATTTACTTTGTTGTGCTTTGTTAACCTATAATTTTCAGTTGTATTCTGGTTTAGTTATTCATCATGGGTAAACAACGTAGACAAAGACAGCAGTATCATATCCAGGCTGTCAATTCCAAAAAGTCTGAAAAGGTTATCGAAAATACAGCTCAAGATAATTCTGTTGCAAACACTACTTCCATGAATATATCGTTGGAAAGCAATCCTTTTGCAAACATGTCCATAGACACTGGCAGTATCAAGAAGACTCTTCATGAATATAAAGACGACGATGTGCGCAGTGTGAAGTCCTTCAAGTCTGTGAAATCAGAAATAGGTGGTGGAAGTGGCATTAAGAAGAAGGATAAGATCAAGATGAGAAGAGTGCTCTTAATGAAAAAACTTGAAAAACTTAAAAAGGTGAAAGCAGTGAAAAAAGGACGACATGAACTTATGGGGGACACAAAATCGTTATTGGATGCCTTAGATTTTGTCACAGTGAAGGACTGTGTAAAAGGTGAAGAAGTGTTGACCAAAACAAGGCCTATTCAGAAAGCTGATAAGAGGAAAAAGGATTTTGCCAAAGGTGTCACAATCTATCAGAAGATTATGAAAAATTCACAATTTCTTAAGAACCCTATGGATGCAATAAAGGATCATGTTGCAGCTGTTGTTGAGGCTGAAAAGAATAAAATTGTCAAGAAGAAGTAAACAATATCTGTTATGTTTATTTTCACTAAATAATATATTGTTAACAATAAAAATATATAATAGTTTTTTTTTTCAATTAATATTCCATTTTCTATTGTACAAGACATTCACTCTCTTTGAAAGTAAACACTATTAAAACTTGTATTGAATATATTAATTCTTATTCATCTTTTGATATATGCAATTCTTTTTTGTTCATCATCACATCCAATTATAAATAGTTCTTAGCTCTATCAAAAATTTAATTAATTTACAATATTTGTGCTCGCGCGTTACCAGTCCCAACAGCCGTCAACAGCTCTATAGAACTTTCGATTTAAATAATTTAGAATTTCATTCTACTTAAAAAATATATATATATTTGTATTTTGCGGAGTTGTGGCTGGTGGTTTTCTCGACGCGAACGCTTTATAATAATTATAAATAAGACGAGGTTATTTAGCATATGTGATAAATATCGTCATCATCATCAACCAACCAATTCTAATAATTTATATATATATGTATGTGTGTATATATATATAATGAAAATAATCACAGAAAACGTTTTTGTTTGTTAGTAACCAGTAGTAACGTAACGTGTAAAACAGAATTGACCTTAAAGAATAAATACTGAAAATTTTGAAATTGATTTGAATTGTTTTGTCAGAGCGAACACATAAAATAATAAATCAATATACAATTAACAAATCCCTAAATATTATGTACAAATATTACAAATATCTTAAAAATCGAAAACAAAATATTATTATCTTACATTACAGATGTTTCCGTTCCTCGGAGGAACGGTTGAAAACCCTATATGTGTATCATATTCGTAAAGCAATTAATTTTCGTAAATATATTATGTATGTATATATCTATATATGAATGTGTATAATATATTCGAAAGGCCCATTTATGTCGTAAAATTGCACTTGTTTTCTACTCCTTCTTTCTTTCTTTCTCTCGTTTGATTCTCTTGTTTGTGTCTATCTGACTACGCCGAGGAGGAGGAAGAGTTCGGCGGGGTCGGTGGGATGTTCTTAAGGTCGAACCACTGCATATCGTCTTCGACTCGCACGCGAACCTTCTGACGATAGTGGTACTCCTTCAGGTAGCTCTTCAGAGTTTTTGGTAGTTGCAGATAGTTTATGTCATCGTAGGTGAGCTTGGTGGTTATGGTGGCTCTGCTGAGGTGCTGCAGGGAGAAAGTGAAGTTGCGGTGGAGCGGCGATGTTAGGATGGGCTCGAAGAACATGCAGCTGCTCGGATCCTTGTAGTGTTCGATCAGACCGCAGATGGTGTCCGACATGTAAACGCCTGGGTCATGCGAGTCGAAGCTGAACTTGTGATCCCACTGCTCGATCCTGGCGTGCAGCGATCGTCCGTACTTCCTGAACGATACGCTGAAGAGGAACTCTTCCTGTGCAGAATCTCGCAGCAGGAATGTACCCTCTGGTTTACCATCGAGCAGCCTCTCTGCCTCGTACCTATCCATTTTACCTAGAATAAAAAATAAATATATAAATTTGCAAGTCACCCTATGAAAGCACGTGTTACGTCATCATCATACGGTGGTGCTTAATAAACTTACCCCAGTAGAAGCTGCAATTGGTAATATTCAGCAAATCTGGCACTAGGCAATGTATAAAGTCGACTTGCGTGTGACAGCTAGCGATGATGTCCAAGGGGCAGGACTGAAGGGTGACAGTGTTTTGGAAGAGTGCCCTCAGAGAGTCCACGGATACATTGGACGGACACATGAGTTGGTAACGTGTGGTTCCTCCGTCCGATTCCATGTCTGTGTACAGTAATCGCATAGTCCTGAAATTCGCAGGTGGATCTACGCCCTGCTCAATTTCCCTCGCTCTTTGACGACGCGCCGCCTCATCGCAATCTTCGTGCACAGAGCATACCCTAGTAAAACAGAAAAAAGATACAAATAAGAAAACTAAAAATATATGTTTTTTCTCTCTATTCTTTTCGACATATCAAGTTATACAAAATAATGCACAAAGAGATAAAAACGCAAATACTTGTTATGAAGAAAGGTCAGGAAAATAGAAAGGAAAACGAACATGCATTTATTTAATAATACAGTAATCTTAATTAACTGTTAGTGGAGAACTTTATTATTGCAATATCTTTTCTTTTAATATTACTATACTTAAATTTCAATATTGTCTCTATAATTTTTTGTTGTACCGATTGTTATTCAGAAAGGGAGCCGCGTATAATGCATACGATGATTAATATTGTTTTTGTGCGGTACGAAATATACGCACCGAAACAGAATGAATACCAATCAATTTGGATGGATGTTGGTTAATTTATCAGATTGAATTGTTTGCAAAATAACCTTGAAGCAGTTAATGGACTGCAGATATATAATTAGTCAAGTATATGTGGCATATGTATGAAACGTTCTTTAGTAATTGTAGAAGATCACGTTAATTAAATAGCTTAAACATAATTCCACTCAATGCTGTGGTTTGATTTAAGAAACTTACCAATCAATTGAAGGCGGATTCACGACTATAGATTGCACGTTGTTGCTTCCGTAGATGCCATTGTCGACGTCATTCTTCGCAGCCTCAGCAACCACGACTGGTTCCTGCCTTATGACTGAAGGCACTTCTTCGACAGGTTGCTGTTCGACGGCAGCTGCAGAGGCCATGGAAATGTTATTGCTGCTCGCAGCTTCGTTGGCGGTTTCAAAGACAACCCCAGGTCCCAGATGATGCTCCTCCGTCCTCCTGTAGCATATGCAAGTGCAGCACATGCAACACATGTTTGGCGCTTCGGCGTGCGCCACGTTCTTGGATTCTTTCTTGGTGCAGTGGAATTTCAACGGCCATTTGGGTGACTTCTTTATGCATTTGTCCGGCGCAGCAACCTCGCAACACGCGGAGGACGAGGACGAAGACGGGGACGCGGCGGATGCGGGCTGCGACTTCTTCTGCGATCGCTTGCTGCTCGCCTTGAACTGCAACATGAGACCTCTTCGCAGGTTCAGCGCGAAAGAAGTGAGCCGGATCTTGTGCTTCTTCTCCCTGGTTGTCGGTGACAGAGACGTGGACGAGGATGAGGAGGATGTCGAGGTATCACTTCCTGTATCTTGAGGCGATTCCGACTTATCGCACGTACATCGATCAGAGTCCATTTCTTCTTATGGTTCGTATCTCTCACTCAACCAACTTCGCTGCGGTTCGCTCAATTCAAATAATACCTGAACAGAAAAGTACACGTCAATATGTATATAAGGTGTTGAGGATATAGTGGTAGAGGTGGTTATGGTGGATCGATGCAATTAGCATGAACTAGATCGCGAAATGCGGAGAGAGCACTCCTCATCTAAACATCTCAAAATGCAAATGCACCAAACAAATATTTATGCAGCGCAAATGATGGAATGAGAGCGACGGAGAAATGGAATTGAGACGCCTGAGACGACGACAAACGCGGTCGTTACGGACGGAGGAATAGTAGTGGTAGTAGGAGAAGCAGCCAGAAGCAGTTGTCGGCGGAGTTTCTCCTTTCAATCTCATCAAATTGCAATTTATCGAATTACTTTTCCACGAAGTCATAGCAGGAAATTTCAGTTCCATTTTCAAACGAAACACAATCTGTTCAACGTAATTGCATATGCTCGAAGAAAGATCGTCATATCAACAATGACATCATTCATGACGCAAAACAATATTATTAATTACATAAATAAAATATGTTTACTCTACTTGACTACAAAAATATTTTACCAGTTTTCTTCAGATGTAACGTCCTTAATATTGTGATTTTCTTTTATAAAATTTTCCAAATAGTTTAGTATTCGTAGTGAAACGGCATAAAATAAATGTTTTGAAAGAAAGTTGCTAGATGTAAATAGTTGACTTGTTATTTGGCAAGTACTGCTTATTTTATATGTAATATGTATACGAGTTACAAATTTTGCTGGTTTTAAAATAAGCTTCTGTAAAATAACTACAATCATTGGAAAGACTTGATCATTTTATTTGTTATAGAGATTAATCAGCAACTCAAAACATGTTATTTGTCAAGGATATATTCAATGTCAATATGATCGTAAAGTGTAAATTATTAATAACAAGTTCATTGTAAATTATGTGGCGAAAAGTGATTGCATTGCATTTGGTAAACATTTTTACTAAAATTAGGATTTGAGGCAATTTAGTTTAGAGTTCCTACCTAAACAGTAGCTATGACAACTGCACGACTAACAGAAAATGTTAGATTTCATATATTTACATGGAAACCAACAAATGAAAGCGGATTGTTTCAAAAGTTTTGTGATGTTCAAGGTTGCTTTTACATTTACTACGAATAACTGATATATTGATAATGCGCAATCCTATTCACGTACAAAAAAAAACATGAAGAAGGAAAGTTTTGCAGTCGTGTATGTATGTGTGTATTCATATATGTATATATTCGTACTTCCTCACTAATCATGTTATCAACAAGAACGACAATGAGTCACAGACCGCATTATCAGCAACCTCCGCTTTGAATCATTACCTAATTCTGCAAAGCATGGAAAAAATATATTCATATTCATTATGCACCGCGCATATTTTGAATATCCTCGATCGATACATCAACAAGATGTTTTGATCACGACGAATATAAATGTTTATTATACAAAAAGTCGGTCGGTCCATTGAAAGACAACGTTTCGTAACACCAATAATTATCTCGGTTCTTGAGCAAATATTATTATGAATTATTATATTCTTGTTATTGTTTCGAAACAAATTGAACTCTGACACGATTCGGGACGGCCCAATTAGCCATATTTTTAAAATTGTTTTCGTCCACTAATTAAAGATGCCACACATCACGAAATGAAACAAACAAGCATCAACGACAATTAGCAGCAGCAGACTGATTCTCTTTTCATTATTATTTTTCTTCTCTCTTTGGATATAAAGACACGTGTTTCTCTTTCTGTATTTCTTTTTTTCGTGGTTTTCTTTTCAAACGCGCGAACGCGAGTCACGCAATCCCAATGTTAATTTTCAATTTCGTTTCGTGGAGAAGAAAGCTTCTATATTTTTTTTTCATGCTTTTCCAGTTACTTTCGAACGGAAAATAAAAGCATTCCTCCAATTACAACGTTTAGTCGGCCGGATAAGCACACAGAGAGTTCCGATAAGAGGAATTATTTCAATCGCGCCGCCGGAATGGAAGTAAATCACTGATAAAGTGTGGACAAACACGAATAATAATAACAACTTTTCGATTAGAAGGAAACGACGAATGGTAACGATCATGTTGTTTTTTTTTTTCATTCAACGAAACCAATTGCTATTTTAACTTATTATGAACGTAACAATTACTAGCATTTGCATGTGTGTAATATACAATAAAATCTTTTGACATGTAGATAAATGGAATTAACTGACTAAAATGGTTGACCACTGCGATTATTTTAAAATGGATGATAAGGTCTACTAAGAATGATTATTACTCTTCTCTGAACAAAGTGAAAGATAAACATGAGGTTTGTAATACCCCTCAAATATTTTCAGTGAATCACTAGTATTAGTAATTGGAATAGTGATAATAATAATTATGTTAGGACATTGAATTTCAATTCGGAATAATAATCAAGTTGCGGTGTATCGGATGGAACTGATGTGATTTGAGCCAATCAAGAAGCGAATTAAGTTGGTTGCTTGGCAATGATCGTTTCTTTTCTAAACAATTGTAAGCTTTCCTGTTTGCTTGTAAACGACGTCAATGATTACGCATTGGAAGACTGCGTGGGAGGAAATAAAAGTGAATCATCGTTATTGAGCATGTAAATATTGATTGTTTTATTAATGAAAATGCAGATTCTCACCCGAAGTGAAGGAGGGAATCCGATCAACGATTTTTGTGCAAAGTTTGCAATTATTGACGAATCGTATAACTCAGTTTCAGATCATCATACCGAAAGGAGTGAATCCGATGGTATTCACGCGACGTTTCGACAGTTTCTGCAGACTGCGAGCAGCTCTTGCAGCAAGTGTATGTGTGGGATGGCAGCGAGCAACAAGTCTCGACCTGCAGTTGTGATATCAGTTGGAAATATAGTATATACATGCCACACATGAATGCTGCATGCATAAATGAATGACGCATCGAAAGTAAGTATAGATTCACTCTCCACCCGATCCCATTCACATGCGAATGCCGCTCGCAAATGGGATTGGGTGTGTTTGTGTTCGGTCCTTCCTTCTTTCTTTCTCTCCGCCTCCGCTAAGGCTACTATGTACTACTATGGAGGCTCGCTATTCGGAAAAGGCAAAGAGACAGGTAGATCTACCTGTTCCAGCTAATACCTGCCACGTTTTGCCGCAGAGCCGAGGTAGCAGGCACACCAGATTACGAAACCTTACGAATATGGGGTGCGAGTGTGTGTGTGTATGCCTTTTTTGTCTTCTTCGTTCTTTTTTCGTTCATGCCTGGCTTGGGCAGTGCTGTGCTTACAGGAAACGCGAGACAAGGATGCCGGATGCCCACGAACGCCTTCTTTAATGAAAAGAACTTTTCTTCTCGCTCGCTTGGCTCGCCGACCGAAAAGTCATTCACTTCGCACGCACACAAAGGAAACAAGTTTCGAGCCCACCGCTCTTCCTCCTCTCCTTCTCGCTCCTTCAGCCATATCATCGTTATTACCACTGTGGCACACTAAATAAGAAGCAAACGGCATGCACGAACGACTGGCGGAACGGGAATTAAAGGAAGAAGCAACGGCAGCGGTAGACGGCGAATGCAAGAGGAGGATGGACGTGGCAAGATGAATGAATCAATGAATGAATGGCCCCACAGATTAGAATAAATGAGCGCGAAGGAAAGAAGAAGAAACACGAAAATTCTGGGCATAATGAATTACTACAAGAAGCCTACACCAGTTTCCTCATTTAGATTTCGAGCGGCGATAAGCAAGCAGGCTAAGGCTCTTCCAATCATCATCGGTTCGTTGGTCTTCAAACAAAACAACATTGATTGAAAATTGGGAAATGAAAATCAGTGAACGAAATCAAGGGCATGAACCAGACACAAACAATTCTACAATGCTTTTAGTAAATACAATAGTGTAGCAATTAGGATGAATATGAACTATGAATGGAAACTCCATATACACACTCTACTACCGTAGTTTATATTAATCATTTGATATGTCAGTTGGTGGATCGGAGGACTGTAGAAAGTTTCGTAGTATATACGAAATGAACAACTCTCACACCTGATTAATAATACTACAATTTCAAGTCTGTTTGCAAAGTGGCGACCTTATGATTCGTTTCTTGAATAACAAAATACTCGTCATACAAATATAAGAAGTATCAGTTATAAATAAATCAAGTTTCAGGATTCCATGTGGCAAGTCTTGAAAGTTATACTAACATTTTGTATTCTAATGGACTTTCTAAAAAAATGAATTTGCGTGCGAAAACACCCGAATTCAAGGATAACGTCGCATGCAGATTATATGACCAAAGGGAATAACAAAATAAGTATACCTCGGATTTCCTAGCGTTACCTCGCAAAACAATACCAGTGTCTTCCATTCAAATATTATTTTTTATTTAAACGATAGGAAGACCTCCCGTTATAGGAGCGAGGCCTTTCTCGGGTTTCGCAATTCCATTAATAATTTATTACCGGATTTAGAACGTGCGATTATTGCACAACGTGTGTTGAGGACATTCGGCTAACTTGGATTACATTTTAAATTACGTATTAAGAATTTGAATATTTTTGTTATTCATCTATTCTTTTCAATAACATAACATTTCATAAATAAAAATGCATCCATACGAAGAGAGCTGTTACATCATTCCGAAATCCTTTCAACAAATCGAAGCCAATATTGGCTGGTGATCGACCTATACAGGTTAGTTAGCAACGTGAGAACTGCTGATGGCAGATATGACGCATATACCGTTCGTTCTACCATACGTTACCTTCTTCAGTAAGTATGCGTTTAGCTCTTTTTCTCATCCAACCGTGTCCCAATTTGCATGTTTTAATTGGCCCCTCGCAGTAACAGCAGCAGAAGCGTTGAATACTGAAGAGAGAGAGAGATAGAGAGCGAGACCACCTCACTCACCTCTGTTTAGAAGGCAAAACTGCGTGTTTCTATTCAGTGGTTTCACAACGAGCTGTGATGGTTAACGCGTAAACAAACTGCGTGACGCGATCCTCGCAGATATACAGTTTAATATCAAACCGAAAGAAAACAACAATATGAGCGTGGAATAATGAACGATCATTCTGTTGTCGACGACGATTTACCGAGACGGTAATTCGGGACGACGTTGTTTGTACAGTAAATTGAATCGATTGGGCGACGACTCGGAAAGCTGAAGGCGAAGCAATTTCGAATGATGCTTTGCCTCTCCTTCCTCATCATCATTCCTTATCTCGCCTCCATTCATTCAATCCAATTTCGATTCATAATTCTGCTTTTTTTCTTCCACTGCGCCGCGCGATTCAATTAAGCTTCGTCGATTGCACAGCCAGCATCTTCTTTCCGATGAAACGCCCAGATTTTGATAAACTGCAAGTCAATTACATCATTTAGTTACTAAACTGCTGATAAAACATCTACAGATTTTGCAACTGCATCGCATCTCGTGCATTTCACCAATCAGATACCAAAACTTTGATGTTGACCGATTCCTTTAGTGTTTCTTAACAAACATATGTTCAAATATACTAGAGAACAGTTCCAGTACGTATTTTCGAATAAAAAATATCATGAATGAAAATGTGATAACACGAAACTCATTCATTTAAAAAAAAACTCATTAATTTATCACAATTTGATTAGAGTGAAATTATTTTCATCACTTGTATACTTTTTTGTAATCTACAAGTTAAATAACAAATCTGTTGTTCATTTATATTCAAGGAAATATTCACTTTTCATTTAAGATTCGTTTGTTTTAGAGTAAAATAGTCCCCCTTTCTATTTACCAAACTGAACGTTTTCCTTCAGTAAGTTTTGATGAATCACAAGACTGCGCTGTTCTGCTTTAACGAGTTTCACCTGCTTCAAAAAAAAAACTGTATTCCGGACAACTGAACAATTTCGTAACCAATTACTAAATTTCGCTTACAATCTTAGAAGCACTAGGATCCAAAATAATAAGCATTATTGAAAATTTTACAACGATTGCTGACGTATATTTCATGACCTTCTACATTGTTTACTTTTTTCCAATCTAAATATTCGATACTGGTTCATTTTATAACAATAGTAATAATACCGTATGAAACCTTAATAGATTATTTTTTCGGCAGTTTGATGATACCTCTTTAGTACATTTGTAAGCAATACTGGTTCTTATGTGCAAATGCTTGGCTTTCATTCAAAAGTAGGTCTGCCTTTTGTAAGATTTTAGACGTAGGTGAGGCTACTTATATAAATTGCATTCGTGCATTTCAAGTATATTCATATCGAATTTTGTCTCCAAGTTTAGAGATAAGACAGAGAGATGCGGTATTGTCTATCCATCTATAGTTACCATGAATTGTTATTGTTCTTGGTTATCTCTCAAGGGAAAGAGATAATAAGTTTGTTGACATGGTTTAAAATTACTCGAGAATCCTGAAATTCTAATCGTAGTCCAATTGGAAGATAAAAAAGCGAGCAATGAGTTCAGTGCTTTATATCCACATATGCTTGATATTTAATTTAACCATCCACTATAGAGTTTACCTGATGTTCAAGGATAATTTATACGAAACTACGCAATTCACAGGCCTCGAAAAGCGCTTCATTAATCTTGGTAGAGAGAGAGAGAAAAACGAGTATCATTGTAAAGAAAACCGATCAAATATCTCTCAATTAACAAAAACGTCGCGGACAACAGGAATATCGGATGACAAGAGAGACACTCGGTTAGAAGTCTCACAGAGTCGCATAAGAAATTAACAAGTAAAATGGATGGTTCAATTGTATGATAACGAGACGCGAATTAACTTTCGCGTGAGAAAGAGAGTGGAAGATGGTTGGATGTAGAGGAAGAGAAGAAAGAAGAGGACGAGGAGGCACCGCTAAATCTAGTACGTGAGATCGTTGGCCTTTGCGATTTAAGCGAAGATGAGGAGGAATAAAATAGCATACCGAAAACGGAGTAAATAAAACGAGGCGCATTTTCTAACGACGAAACTGGCTATTCTACTTTTTTTTTGCTTCTCTTCTTTCTCGTTGTCTTTCCATACAAAAGCAACTTTCTACTCGATCGTGGAAAAAACAAACAGACATCGCGAATCTCTCTTCTGCGTCGCATTAGCCGAGTCGACGACGAAAACAAAATGTAAATAAGCTCTTTGGATGCGTACACAACATTCACGTGTGTGTTTGTTTGTACTTTGAAGGCCTCCAGTATCTATAATTAAAGACTATATTATCAATGTTTACGACACACAATAATTATACTATACAGGTGCTTTCCAATGCCGAGGGAATAATTAATGGGTTGGGCTTGTTGGTGCGAGTTCGAGTGTTTCTCTCCAATGCAACATATACATATATATATATATATCAATCTATTATATATCTTTCCTATGCGAAGGTTGCGACGCTTGCTCTGACATTTCACATTTTCTAACAAATTCGCATCGGATTTCCATCAGCCATTTTGTGCACTTGCTGGGAAATCTAATGGGATTGATATATATTCCGAGAGCCAATTTGTTTGCATGCCAATTGGTGTCATCATCACAATCCACCTGCAAAGCTACCATTCATACTTACATTTGGTGTAGCTGCAGCTCTGGAAGGGTGGTATCTCTCTCTCTCTTGGTTGATCAACAACAATATCGCAAAATCCTTACTCCAATTCCGTCCTATTCAACTATCACTGCTAAGTAAACGCACTTGATTCAATATTTGTTGCACACTTATCTTTGCGAAGGCAGGCAGATATAATACATTCGTATGTGGGTTAGTTAAAATCCAATAAAATCGCACTCAGAACTGAACGCATCTTGCCCCCTCAAAGGCAATCACTCGACTAATTTTTGACAACCGATATATATCCAGACCTACCAACTAAGAATTCAAAAAATCAAATTGCGCTACCAACAAAAGAACGTCCTACTTGCGTTATTTGAATTCAAAATGATTTTATGCAGTCTCATGATAGTAGCATAATAATACCATGGTCAATCTAATTAACTTAATCATCACAGTTCTTATTATCGCTTCAGATACAAAAAAATATTACTGAAGCAACTGAATAAATGTATAAAAGACTTTCGTTCTGAAAAGTAATATTTTACAATGATATACGGAATATGATTTCATATTAAGACAAAGATATTTAATTAAAGTTTTTACTTAATGTAATTGTTACGCTTCGAAGAAAAATTGCAATATAAGTTGCATAAGTCTTGCATTACAAGAGTCTATAGCGAAATAATTATTTTTAAAGAACGGTTATTATTACCAATTATTACCGTATTTTTAAGGAACTCTATTTTATGGATGATTAATTTAATTTTGACCTCCATCAATCTTCATTAGTTAAACTATTGATTATATTCATACAATCGTTATACAATAATGTTATGTAAATTGCATAGTTCTCCACGCAAGGAAAGTATGTTTATACCGTACGCTTAGCTTAATAACTGTTTACAAACAATTGCATTTCTTTGAAAGAAACCCTTATTCGAAGAGGCAAGGGTGGTGGATAACAAATTCTCAGTCTACAAATTAACTAATATATTTTTTTTTCATGTTACAATATTCGAAAATAAAAAAAGAATCCGTGTTACAATTACAAAATAAAATCACCAAAATTATTTCATTTGTGTTGATAGTTGTTATTCCCCATGCAGTTACAGTTGGTTGGTAATTAGAATATATGACATTGAGGGGAGACTGGACAGAAAAATAAATATTCTAGCTACTTTATGTATACTGTTGCCAAACTTTGGTACCTTCGAATACTGATTTCTCTGGGAAGACACCAACATTAGCAACGTTTCATATAACATATATATTTCTTCTATTATTGTTTTTTTCGGATATAATATTATTTTCTATTGATACGAGTTGGGGATCGCTTTGACGTTGGAAACTTGTTTTAGACAATTTTTGAAGAATATTATTATACGGTATTGTACTCACACAGCATCATATCTGCAAAAACAAAACAAAAAGTTTATTTTCCGCGCTTACTCAAGTCAATTATACGGTGTTTCATATTTTGAAACAAACTTACGGCATCGACAGGATCAGCTTCGTCAGCTGAACTGATTTCGTCGCCGAATTCGATGTCCTCGTCAAAGCCGTCTTCAACGAATGTAACGGTGTCGTTGATGCGCACAGTCTCTGGGAATTCACCATATGTCTTCAAATTGCGCGCTTCATCTGGCGTGTATTTCAGGATGACATCAGCTTTAGCATCTTGATAGTCCCTCAAACCAATCAAAATAATATCACCTTGATTGATCCACACCTTAAATGCATCAAACATTGAAAATACATCTGTAAACTATCAAATCCTTGCAGTAAATTTACCTTCTTTCTAAGTTTACCACGAATGTGACACAGTCGTTTGACTCCATCGAAGCACATAGCCTCCAACCGTCCATTACCCAACATTTTTGTTACTTGTGCGTATTCCTGTCCATCCTCTTTGAACACCAACTCACGCTTTTCAGTTTCGTTCTCGTTCTTTCCCCTACGACGATTTTTACCTCCCTTTCCTAAATAGCAATAAAGAAAAAAATATCATCAGTAATTATACTAATAAACATGAAGACACGGAATGAAATATACCGATTCCATTTTACGGTTCTTCATAATATTTTTTTTTTGTAGCTCTATTTATAAATTCGCTTCGAGGTCATTAAATCAAGCGCGATAATTACTCCAACTCGGACTTAGTGACCAATGATTTGGAACGAGAGTAGCAAATGAATAAGCAAATTATAAACATTGAACGCGGTGAAATCACTCGCAAAATATGCATGCCATTGGAAGCTGTCATTTGTGTCTATTGGTATATTTAGGTTATAAAAAGAACGGTGGTAGATGGATGGGCTCTCTGACTCACCCTTATTCTTCGGCATGTTGAACGGGGTTGTTCTTTAGGAAGTTTCGCTGAAAATTTGGTTTTCCTTGCGTGGGAGGCCTCGTGAAATGAATCGGTCGTACAAAAGTTCTGGACCGACGTCTGCACAAAACGACAAGAGAAAATGCTCGTGTCGAAAGGGTTGCAAACAAATACGTGCGCACTTAAATCTGAGTCAAATGACCGTCAGGTCAACCAACACGAAAAACCCAAAAGACACCAAATATTTGAAAGTTTAAACAACTTTCATTAAAACATCAAATGTTCTCAATTTACTAAAATAACATCACGTACAGATATAAATATTATTTTATTTTCCCCATTAATTTTCCCTAAAACTTTGAAATGAAAAGCAGAAAACAAGTAGTGCAATTTACATGGAAATATAGCATTATTATGAATCTAGTATGAACTTTCACCATTATTTCTTGAAATTGGAAATAATTAAGGAGATAACGTCTCGTTTATATAAGCACAGCCATGTAAACATTTCGCTGATTGCATTGAGTGCAAACAATTAACAATAATTTGCAAGTCAATATATTTAAGTGATTTTACATATCTTTATGCAAAAATAATAATGTAACAAATAATAAACATAGAGCGATCATTAAAAAGCAATTGATTTGTTTTCATTTTAATACACTTACAAATCATACATATATATATATAATATTTATAATTATAAAATATAAATTTCTATTATATTAACAGATTCACCTTGTCACAATGTAACTGTTTTTCTATCATATTCATTAGCAGCTCAATTTGCACAATAGAAATCACAATCAATTTTAAATGCCTTCCTTCCGCACATTTGCCTCAAATTCCATTTTTCACTTTATATTTTATATATATTTTTTCCTGACAGTATTCATAAATGACATGAACTAAACTTAAACGGAGAAAATAATAAATTGCACTCATCCGATTAGTTAAAAACTAAATTAAATAAATTAAAAGACAACCTCACTGACTGCTCAAATTAACTGCAGCTTTAACACAATTAAATAACGTGCGATTCTGCGAGTTCCCGAGACAATCACATATAATATATGCGCTTAAAAAAGAAATATAAAACCATTATTTGTTTCCACGAAGAAAGAGGAAAATACGTTAAATTAAAAAAAAAAACAAATTGATATGATTGATTAATTTAACAATGATCTACGACGGTCACCCACCCTGTTAACAGTTATATAATTTATTCTTTTATTATTAATTGTTGTTTTATAATAATAATATCAATTATTAAATTATATTGTATTAAAGACGATTAATTTTTTATTTAATAAAACGAGATTGTAACAATAAAAATATAGTATTCAACTGTTGTCGTTGCTTCTGTTCTTTCTTATATTTTTTTATATCTTCTTTTCAATAAATAATACTGAAAATAATATTCTTTGGACTTAACTTCTACGTAAGCCTATTCGTACACGCGACGGTCTGTTAAAAGTAGTGGATAATAAAGCGGAACTTAATTACCGCGTAATTTTGTCCAGAAAATCCATCTCCACAATGCGATCCAGCTTCTCTAGTATTGCAAGAGTTTTTCTATCCGTAGGCTTATCGGGGGTGAAGAAGTCGTTGCTCACGGAGCCGTTGCATTCGGTCCTGTGTCTGTTCGAGCACAGGCTTAGAGTCTTGAAGAAACCGTGCAGATCCTTCAGATGCTCTATGGAGTTCATGGTTAGCAGCAGTTCGTTCTGCTTCGTCGGTAGTGTCTCGATTTGCGTCTCGCTGTACCTCTGATCCATGAGACTAGCAATTCGGCACACGTGCGGCGTAAAAGAGGTCATCTCCAGCATATTGTAGGAACTTTGGGCATGGGGCAAATCATCACCTACGAATGCCCACCGATACCTAACAACCATACGTCATTATAGTAAATATTAACTTCATTTATGTTGGATAAACTCACATTTGGAACTGAGGCAAAGAAGTGGCCGGAAGAAGCAAAGCCAGATCCAGAAGCTTCGCTGTGGCCAACTGCAGGGATCGCCAATGGGGATGTCCGAGGGCGTGGAGTCCGTTGTTGCTGTTCAGAGTCCAGCTTGCATCAAGGGCAACCATCAAACGTATATGGGAACTAAAGATCAGTATTTAAAATAAATAAATAAAGCAATGCCATAGTTAGTGAATTTAGGCAAACATAAAAAGCTTGAAATTAGTTAAGCGATTAACGACAAAACAGTTCATTCTAATTACCTTGAGTTGTTCCTGCGGGTTTCGATTTAATCGTACATTCCGTTGCAAAAGACGCAGCATAACAAACAAACTCTTTGTTAATTCAATGAAATTATTATTAAAACAAAATGTAAACAACCCAATACCATGGCTACCGAATCTTATAAAGTTGTATCACGTGAACTAACCGATTATTGTTTATAACAAATAATTGAATTGTTCTCGTGAAACAATGGAAATGTTTGATTACTCACCTAAACTCTTCCGTTTCGGTGGACAGTTCCTGTTCGATCTGTATGAATACCTGAAGCATTTCGCTGATGATGATGGGCCAAAGGGAAGTCATGTTAATCGGTGACATGCGTATAAGCAATACTCGGAAGCACATGAAGACCTGGGCTTGAACCCCAGGCACGCTCAAACGCAAGCTCGTTGTCAATTGCTCTAAAAATGTAACGAAATTAAATGTTTATAATTTAGAGAAAATACGAGAAATACCTTGTATATCAGGCATGTACTTGGCATATTGATCCGTCTCGCTGCAGAAGATTACGAAAGCCAATCGCTTCAACAGTTGTGCTCTTTGCTCGTACTCTTGTTCACGCGTGGTAAAAAGATTCAATCCTCCGGTTTGCGCCATCGACACTCTGCTCATTAGGTCCCTGAACGTGGTATTGTCATGCGTCATCAGATTGTCGATTATGATCTTCCAATACTTCAGACACGAGTAATCCATTTGAAACAGAGTATTATCTAGCAGCAAATCAAATACGTCTTTTTTCCACGCCTTCCTCGTATATTGATAACTGCTCAAGCTAGCCATCAGCTTCGAGCAAGCGACAAAGCTGTGCATGTTCCTGTAGGTGTGCGTGCGTAGGTAGGGAACGATGTTGCACATTAACGAAGTAAGTATAGTGTTCACTTTATCCTTCTCCACTGATCCGAAGCAAATATCCAAGATTTGGGCAAGAATCTCCGAAAGAACCAGCTGCGCCTGAACACTGTAGCTGTTATTAATGCCGGTCAGTATATCGGAATTGGAGCAGCTCACAACACTGATCGAAGATATACTCTCTTCGTCCTGCTCTTTGACTGCCAGATTCCGCCGCAGCCACGTCGTCTGCTCCAAGCAAGAACCGCAAACTTGCGAAACGCACTCTATCAACTGAAACCACCAAAACATAAACTTGCCGATCACTAAAGATAAACAATAAATATATACCTTAGCAGTTACGTCCTGCAAATCCTTTTGATCTTTACGCTCCTCCAATGGACAACACTTAATCATTAGCTCGTGAAGCAAAGCAGCCAATAAGAACTGAGCTGGTGGTGTTAACGAGCAACCTTCTCTCACAAGAGCCAAAAGCGAACTCCAAGCTTCCGATAATTGAGTTGCTGACGCATTCCTCATGTAACAGTAAAACAATTCCAAGACTGAAACATCCAGGCAAATGTCGGCGGTTAAACCCTGGATGGGCGGAGGATTTTTGATCACCGCCGTCACAGTTTGCACCAAATTGTCAAGCGGTATAACACGTATCGCCAGTATTAAGATGACCAAATTATTTTGACTAGCGTTGGGTTCGGGTAGGACCTGAAACATTAATTCTCCAATCACTAATTCTTGATATTTGTTTTTGTATTACCGTCTTAACGTTGGTGAATGGGTTTCGCCTTTCGTGCCATGCGACCGCAACAGCAGCCAAGAAACTGGAGCTATGATGCACTGCTATTGGACTAAGAAATTCCAGCAATTGCTGTTTAACAACCTTCGAATGACCAAATATACCACAGTAATCCCCTTCTATACCCACTATGGTTTGCCAGAGTTTTGCGACGCTCGATATTATCTTGGGCATGTGACTCAAGATGCATTTGCGTGCATTCAGGTAGTTATCGTTATTCTTGGAGAGGTCGCCGTTGGGCGAGAAGAAGGCGCTTACTAAGTTATTCAAGATTTCGCTGGTGTTGTTAGTGTTCTGGGTAGAGTTTACAGGCAAGTTCTGATTGGCGGTTTGCGTCGAATCCAATAGACAATAGTGAACGAGGATCGTCAGTGATTCCAACTGTGTTGTCGCATAATCTGCGCACAATTCTCCGCCCAAATCTTTTGCCTTGTATGCATCCGCCAACTTCTCCAAATTGAAGCAGATCTGATGTACCACCGACATAGAAATATCCTTCAAATTATCTCCAAAGTACGGCAGACAGGAAGTGACCATGTTGCACCAATTCTGGTGCAGAGATTTCATGTTCTGATGTCGAAGAGCGCTGAGAATTGCAGACAGGAACATACTCTGCTGAGGAATGAGAATAGTTGGTGCATAGGTCAAATGTTCTCCACTGATCATCGAAGTTCCAACGCCCGACGTCGGACTGCTGGGATTGACATCCTTCTGCTGCTTGAACAGCTTGTTCTCCAATATAATAAGCGAGTGAATCAGACGGAGCAGATTGATCTGGTAAGCTTCGACGTGCTCGGAAACGCGCTTGTTGTTATCGTACAACTTAAAATTGTTGTACAGCAACACCTCATCGGAGAAAGTCATATCCTCATCGAAATTCTTTACCGACGTTAACAAACAATGCAGCAGAATCTTCTGCAAATTGCATTTCATCAGCATATCGGCAATGTATCCAGAAAAACCCTTGAAATTCTCGTCCACAAGATTATTCAAATGCTTCACAATGCAATTGAGTATCTCTAAGCTATTCAATTGGATTTGAAGATTATTCTCAATTTCCTCCTTAGTTAACTTGTTATCGTCCAGGCTCGGATAATAAGTTCTGGCAAAGTTCAGGCAAATGGTGATAATCACGTCCAGGAATGTGTAACCTCTATACGTATTCACTAATTCAGGGCTCAATTCACCACAGAAACCGCTTCCCAAAATGCTCTTCCTGTGTCTGGCCATCAAGTGCAAAAGTTCATTTCCTCGTAGATCTTTCAGTCCAGCTGTGGCCAAACACCTAATAAACAACAGAGGATTTGAACGAAGACAATTCCTCAGGGTTCTCAGCGAGTACAGTATGCGATCGGAATCGAAGACTTCATAGTACAAGCATATGTGGTAATGCATTGGATACAGCGTGAAATTCTTCGCTACGCTCTCAACGATCTTCGGTTTCACCTCCTCTTTACCGCAAACTCTATCCAATAATTCGTTAATTACCTCGGCGGCAATACCCACATGCGGATCCTTGAAATACTCTTCAGCCGCAGTGCTCAGTTCCAGCTCAGCGTTCAAGTTATCGCCGTCCGACATCGAATAGGACCAACTGTGAACCAAGGACAGATTGTTCTCGACTTCCACATTACTCGTCGATTTCTCATCGAAGCTTCTAGATTTCGGTATAGGTTTTGCTGCAGTTGCATCTCGTATTCCTTCGGAGATCGGCTCGATTCGTTCCAGCAGGAAACTGGCTCTGGTTTTGCCGGACTCGTTGGACAGTGAAGAACGTGCTTGGCTTGCAGGTTGAGATTCGAATCCGGAATCGGCGCCGTTGCCCAAACTCGCCTAAACCACCACGAAAACACTATGTTTAGTCACCGTTACATTTTGTGCAAATTATGACTGACTTACATATGCAATATCGGAGAGACTCTCGTTGGAAGACCTCTGCGACTGCTGATGCGGATCGATCTTGGTGTAACATCCTTCCGCACCTGTAGGGTATATCTCTTTGGAGCTGAGCGGATTCACGAACAGCTTAACGTTGTTCTTCGATGTGCGTTCTACATTCGGCGGCGCGGACTCCGTCTTAAAGTCTTTCGTCATTTTAGTGACAATGTTCAAGTTTTCCGCTAAGCTCGTCGTCATATTCACAGCTTGGGTATACTTCTTACCAGCCTTAGAGAAGAGGAACCACCGCTTCTTTGGCGGTTTCGGACTCGGATCGTCGGTGATATGAAACATCACATTACCATTCACATTGCTGATGGCGTATATCTTCTTGGCCTTGGCATCATCCAGTTTTCTGGAATCCGCATTGGATAAGTCGGCGTTGGCGTCTCCGTCTTGAATATGCACATGCCGGATGGATATTCTAGCAGTGCTTGGCACCAAGAGCATCGACAATATTGGATTGACTATGCGCGCAATATCGTGCCTCAGCAAACTGTGGGTCACGAATGTTTCAGCAAGAAGTCGAAGATTGCTTCGTTCGGTATTGTTGAGGTTGTCGAGGATTTTCAACAGACTTCTATCGAAATTGCGAGTGCTCCTGTTGATCATCTGCTTCACGTTCAGATCTCTTCCCAAATTCCACAGCAGATAGAACCGCTTAAAATAATCTGTGCTCACGTTCTCGTCGATCAAATACTTTCCCACAATCTGCTCCACAAACTGCTTATTCTCGAACACGTTGTGTATGTTGTATAGCAAAGAGACGCATAGCGTAATTTGCGATTGATTGCTTAACACCCCCAATAAATCCCATAGTATTTGACAAATTGCCTAATAATATAGAAAAAAACACACATTATATTAAGATATTTGATGTGATCAGATCATACCTCTAATACAACTGTAGAGTTTTCGATGAAATCGACATACGCATTATCCAAAATTCCCATAACCACCACGTTATTATTCGATTTTGAACCTGGCTTGAAGTCTTGGCTCTTTGCTAGACTCATGATCTCCATCAACGTGTTCATGGCAGTAATCTGCACGTCGCAGTTGGATCTTGGTGAACAGCAGGCTATGATGAGAACCTTCAACCAGTAAGGCATCTCTTTGTCATGCTCCTCGTGGAGAATATTTGGAAATGCGGCGAATTCCACGAGCAGGTCGGATGCCACTGACATGGCGTCATCGAATCCATGGGAAGATACGATTGCGCTTGTATCGGCTACTTTGGAAGATTCGTGATCGGATGTGCGACGACATGCATTATCACCGAGCAAGCAGGATTCTAAAAGACTTTCCAGTTTCTTAATGCGCACCTCCTTGTCGTGAACGAGCGAATTGAAGAACTTCTCAATGTTCACGTCCGGTATAATTCGCGACTCAACTAGTGACACATAAAATTGCTTGTAAATTCTGAGGCAACTCAATATGTGTTTATTCTCTATACGCATCCCATTACTACTACAAGTGGCCTCGACCTTCTCTTGAACCACTTCGGTTTCAACCTTTACTGGTGAAACGTTGCAAACGGAATCTAAACAGATATAAATTTAAACTAAACTGTTTATTATAATTAACTGAAATAACTCACCAACATCCTCATCCTCCCGCTTCAAATCGTAAAGCTTAGAACTGGATTTAGACTTTTTGTTTTTACTCTTCTTGTCGATCTTCGGACTGTCCTTCTTATCTTTCTTCTTGACAATCATCTGATTGCTGTTCGATCTCTCCCTGCTGATGTCCTCGATAGTAAGCTCATTCTTATTTAGTTTCTCGTTGATTTTAGAATCGGACTTGCTCTTCTCCACGCCAAGCTTGATTTCCACTGAATCGACTTCTTCGTCCACCTCTTTTTCGCCTGAATCCACCAACTTGTTGATAGCCTTTTCTTCGCTGCAATGAATCGAATCGACGTGTTTAACAGTTACTGGCTGGATCCTCAGCAGGATTTTTTTTGAAAGCTGCAGACTATGTGTCACCTCGAACCTATTAAGTGTGGAAATATTCTTTCGCAAAACATTAACAATCTTCTTGAAGAGATTAGGTAATATATCCAATGTGCTCTTCACGTACGTTTCGATAGGGATTATGTCCAATAGGAATTCGGTTAAAATGCAAATTTCGAGTAGGCTTGGTTCGCCTGATCCGATTTCGTTCACTTGGTATCTATCCCTCATGGTCGTTTTGGAGTTGCCAATAGATTTCTCGTATAGCTTTTCGATATACGACCAAATATAATGTGATTGCAGTATGTTGAACAGCATATTGGCGTTTTTAATTAGGTCTTGGCAATATTTTGTGAGGAAGTCTTTGGTTAAGACGTTCTCCTCGTTCTTCAGACTTGTCAGGTCGCCGTTAAAGCTGACGCATCTCGCTGAGCTATTCTTGTGCTTCTGCTGGTTCAAGCAGGTGAAGTACAAAGCTCTGAACACATCGTACAGGATATTGTCGAGAATCACAGTGCCAATTCGACGCTTGTCGAAGAGCGACGTTAACAGCCTGTAAGGCCTTATATCAAGATTGGTGTCGGCACTGCTTTGCTTCAGTGTAATTCGTATCGCCTCGGTTAGAAGATCGTAAGCTATAGTTGGGCTATTCGGGTTCTCTTCGACAACGGGCCCGTACTCCTCCAGCAATTGATCCATCTGCATTTGATTCGATTTGACTTCGGAATTTAAAAGCCAAGCGTATAAGCGACGATTCAGAGACATATCTCGTCGAAGAATGGTGGTAAGTGCGGCAGTAACCAATCTCACCATGTCTGCATAAAGAAGCTGGGTGTTTTGCATTGGGAAACAAACCATCAGCAGATCCAAAGCGGATCTCTGCACCAGCACGCTGGAATCTTGAACGGCCGCGCAGAGACCGGACACCATGACGTCGATGTCATTGCCCATCAGATGGAGTTGATCCTCCATGGGCAGCTTCCGGCTATAATGTGCTAAAACGTAACTGATGGCCGGAAGACGGACGGGACTGTTACTGCGGACGCATTGCCACATGCACGTGTAGAACCAAGAGACGCCGACGCCATCGCATACGTTATCCAAAAGAGCGTAGGTGCGATCGTAATGATCTGAGCCCAACTCCAGACCTGGAAGGATTCCGCTTAAGAAACCGCTCAGTGCTGGTCGAAGGCGCTCTCGCAAAGGCACAAAGTGAGTCTCGTATACCGTCAGTAACGTTGGACGGATGTTCATGGCAGCATGTCCCAAGAGTGGAAATAATCCTGCAGCAACAATTTAAATCAGAAATAAAGTTACCAAATACTATTTGGAATATTCCCAAATACATTTATGCTATAATAAAACTAGCCTTGAAAACTAACAAAGGAATGAGGACATTTTCAATAAACAGCCAAAATATTACCATTACATGAATGTGAAAATAACAAACAACATGTTCTTTCCAGTTTCCTCAATATTCATTACTGGTTCATTCAATCATTCTTCATTAATTACTTAATACATGATAAATGTTTAGTAAATATGAAAAAAGTGTGATATTCGTATCGTAAAACGTGCTTCTAACACAAAAAAGAATACAACAATAAGAAAGAATCTAGTAAAATTTCCGGAAATTTAAGTTTTCAGTCTAAATGATTTTTTAACAATTCTAAAATAAGCTTTCGAAATAACGATTTTTCAACGAGTATTTGCAAAATGTGCGAAAAACAAAAATTCTGTTATATTAACATAAAGTTCGCCATGAGAGACCAATGTTTTGACTTGGGGCGCCAGAAAAAGTTTGAGAACCCCTGTGTTAATTGATAAAATTTGCAAAACATATATATATAGAACTATCTCTTAATGTACACATTACGTAAATCTATAACACTAAACAAACATAATTAAAGATTAACTCAAAATTAGATCTATAGTGTAATAAAACGAAACGAAAATACATAAAATAATGCGCATAAGCAAAAGCAGAGAGCGGCTTCTCAATTTAGCAAATTAAAAGTAAACAAGTCTATTGTTCAATTTGCGTTGTTCTAGATTACGAATCGAACATATATTATTATTATTTTACAGTTAACTTGTTGCCTCGTCCGATTATTGGATACATGTTTTACATTTCTGCTTTCATTTCTTTCTCGCGTTTAGAATGCGCCGTTGTTTGCCAAATCAGTTAGCTCCATTGAAATCAGAGACAAGGATAGGATGGAATGCGGCAAATATGCCGCAAAAATGCCTATTATTTTTAGCGCAACGTATTTTTAGCTGCATTCCATCAAATTCCAAAAAGCAAATAATAACGCATCCACCCGCACCAACAATTCATCATACCATTATCGGTGCGAAACGATACGAGCGGAACTAAAGAAAAGAAACATGCAGAGAGATATGCGACAATCGCTAATGCTCGGACTGATAAAAAAAAATACATAAACAGCAATTAACAAGTAGTAACTAAGGAACGATTAAAATATATCTAAATGTGATTGGAGGAAAAAAACATATTCTTTGCTTGCCTGCACTGTATATGAAGAGCTCTTGGGATAGGCGATTTGTGCCCATGCACTTGAATATAATGTCGTACGTCTCTAGGGCTTTTAGGTGAACACCGGAGGGCAGAGCTGGGTGCATGCATTGTGCCAACCTCTTGCTGATTTTAATCCTCCTGGGTATAATTTGGTATTTCTGGTAGCTGGAGAGAACCTGAAACATACATCCATCAATGTTTATTATTACAATACTCAACTCATTGTTTTTTTTTTATTCAATTTACCTTATTAAGCTTGCCAAGTGCTGAAATCAAGTCTGCCCACTCTGATGTGTACTCAAAGTTTTTCAGTGCCTTGTCCACAGCCCCAGTGAACATCCGGTATTTGGAGTCCTTCATGAGTTCAAACTCCTCCATGGCGATGCAGCTCATCTTTCCCCACAGTCACAGGTTATCTGATTGGGAGGGCAAAAATACTCACAGCAGCTCCAAGTTGTTTACATCAATTGACACTTTTTGACCCATCCTGTTGATAAATTAACACTTATAAACACAGTCTCATGTATGCTTGGACTGGCTCTTCCTATGCACGTCTCTTTCCGATGATCCTTACGCGATCCCACTTTACACCCGACCCAAGAACTCTAATGCAGAACAACAAAACAATCCATAATATTCGCATCGATCGCTGCACAATCGCAATTATCGCATTTTAAATCGAAAATTTTCTTGTTTTGACGTTGACATATTTCTACTTCTGTGTTGAAATAAAAGGCGCATGTATACAAAACGTCAGCTGTCATCAATCAAATAAGCCTGCTATTTTCTTTAGCTCAGCTGACATATCGCACGTCAAACGGTATTAGCAACTATAAGATTCATGCAAAATATTCCCACTGTCACACGCACACTATATTCAAATAATTAACTTAATCTTCTGATAACTTTTGAATGTAATTATGCATGCTGGTACCATCTACCAGTATTGCGCTCAACTAATTTATAACCTTAAATTTATTTAATTTTGTTTGCCAAGCGAAGCAGTTGTAGATAAATTTGTTTAAATGTCGTCTATGACCTTTAGCCAGAAGTCCTTTACGCCTACGCCGCCAGAAAAGGGTAGTTTCCCATTGGATCACGAGGGACTATGCAAGAAGCTAATGGTCAAATACATGCAGTGCCTGAGGAAAAACGATAACAACAATTCTGAGTGCAGAAAGGAATCCCAGGACTACTTGGGTTGTCGCATGGATAACAACTTGATGGCCAAGGAGGAGTGGAACAAATTGGGTTTTTAAATATGGTCAAGATACTGCTGGGGTGTACAGGGAGTGTGGCCACCATCAAGGTGTTAAATATAATTGAAAATCTTTTGAATTCTGTGAATGATGTAGAGGTATAAATTATTGCATAATAAATGAAACCAAAGTTATATGTGTATGTTTGTTTTTGTAGATTAAATTAATTGTAACTCAGAACTCCATGCACTTCTTCAATGTTCATGAGGTTCCTAAAGAAGTTAAGGTCTTCAAGGATGAGGATGAATGGTCAGCTTGGAAGCAGAGGGGGGATCCAGTTGTTCACATAGAATTGGGCAAATGGGCTGATTTATTTCTGATTGCTCCACTTGATGCAAACACTTTGGCTAAGATGGCCAATGTAAGTAATATAAGAAAACTAATTTTAAAAAGAATATCAATACTATTTTGTATTACTTCAGGGACTATGTGACAATTTATTGACAAGTACAATAAGGGCTTGGGAAATGAGTAAACCGTTAATATTCTGTCCGGCAATGAACACTAAAATGTACAATCATCCATTAACGGAGTCTCAAATAAACATTCTAACGAATTGGGGCTACTACATGGTGCCGGTCATCGAAAAGACATTGATTTGCGGTGATACAGGTTTAGGGGCTATGGCCGAGGTAGCTACAATAGTTGAGTATGTAAAAGATATAATTCACAAATCGACTAAGTAACGGCCCAACGGAAAAATAAACAAATTTATTGGTGTATAGTAAAAACCATTGGTTCAAAAAATGAAGTAGTTAAATATACAAAATACTTATTTAAAATATTATTTTCCTCCGAAACCGCTCATCAGATTACCTAAACCGCCAGCTGCTCCGGCGGCACCAGCCTGCAGCTGCCTCATCATATTTTGAAGGCCGGTCATACCGCCGACTTGATGCAGTATTCTGGGGTCCATCATCTTCGCCATCTGCTGGTTCAGTTTCGCCATTTGTACTTGGTTGACGTTCTTCGCCATATCTCCGCTCTTGAACAAGCCCTTGATGCCGCCCATTTTCTTCACTACAGCCGCGAACTTGGTATATTGGGTGATCAAATCTTTCACTTCCCGTTCTAAATATTAAATAGAAAATTAAACATAACAATCGAGAGTTTCTCGACGTTTCTTTACCTGTGACACCAGCTCCTTGAGCCACCCTAGAAACTCTGGTAGCTTGTTTTGAAAACAATTTTGCACCATCTCTGCTATCCAATTCACTCTCGCACATACTGTCCATTATGGTCATAAGCCTTTTCAAACGCGCAACGGATTCCTGTTCGCTGCCTTTAGTCATGAAATCTTGATTAAATCCAGGTATCATTCCCTATAAATAAAATAAAGATTTTACACAACCACGATCTGGTTTTTGTCTTTAGGACATGTCAATTGCTTACCATGATTTGCGAGAACGGTCCCATTTTCATAATATTCTGGAACTGTTCGTACATGTCTCGTAACGTGAATTGGCCGTGCTTGATCTTCTCCATCAGTTCCTCGTTATCCTCCAGCTTCAGTTCATTAACTTTATCAATTAAACCCTCGATATCGCCCATACCCAGCAATTTGCTAACGAATGGCTTAGTTTTAAACGATTCCAAATCGTCGATATGTTCTCCGGTACCAATGAAGATGATCGGACTGTTGGTAGCAGCAACTCTGTAAACGAATAATAACTTATAATAAAAAATCTGCTTGATCAATCTACATTATTTCAAAACTTACGCACTGAGCGCACCACCACCTTTGGCGTGGCCATCCAATTTTGTGATGATGACTGAACCGACGTCGACTTTTTCTTTGAAAGCTTTCGCTTGTCCCTCGCAAGCTTGACCAATAGTTGCATCCATGACGAAAATAATATTATCGGGCCCCTACAAACGCCACTATTTAAGTAAAATTCTTTGTCGCTTTCTCAGTGATAATTTACTTACGACAGCATTAGAGACTGCCAACATCTCCTCAAATAGGGATTCTTCTTGCTTGTGTCTACCACTGGTATCAACAATAATAATTTCAAAACCTTCCTTCTTGAACATATCCACACCATCTTGAGCAATAACTACAGGATCAACCTCTGTGTAACTAAAAAAAAATACATAACGTCAATAAAAATATTTGTAATATTATTTAAATTAAATTATGTCTAAAAAATATTGTTATTTAACTCACCTTCCATAGAAGGGTATTCTGGCTTTTGTACAATTTTGTTTAACCTGATCATAGGCACCAGCTCTGAAGGTATCAGCACAAACCAAGCAAGATTTCCAGTTCTTTTTCAAATAGTGGTAAGCTAATTTTGTGCAGGTTGTAGTCTTTCCTGAACCTTGCAGACCAACAAACATAATAACATTGGGTCTACCTTTAACAGGTTGATAGGGTTTCACACCAGGATCAACAAGCTGCAAATATTCATAATCATTGAACAGAGTAGTAAAATAGAATCCAAGTGGTTATATCCCACCTTCACTAATTCCTTGAATACTGCACTCTGGATCATGCGTCTCTTGTTCAGACCACCTGCAATCTCCTCAAAGTCAATAACAGCCCTGACATTCTCTCGCAATTTCTTGACCAGTCTAATGTTGACGTCGGCTTCCAGGAGGGCCGCACAGATCTCCTTGAGCATGCCATTGAGCACCTGAAATAAAGCGAAATTTGGTAAGCAACGGTAAACATCTGGCTGCTATCACATTCTAACCTCTTCATTGATGATCGTCGCCTTGCTCAGCGATTGCAGAGCGGACGTAATCTTACGTCCTAAATCTGCTAAAACCATTTTGCACTTGGTTTAGTAAAAACAAAACAAATTTTTAATCCGATAGATGGGTATATTGTTATTTCAATCGTACGTCTTTTTACTTCAATTCATTCATGTTCTGTCAAGTCAAATTCTTATGAGCACCAATTTTTTTTCCACCACTACTCCTGTGATTTAAGCCAAATTTGACAACACGACAATGAAATGATGCTGACATCTATGATCGAATAGTATGTACTTTGTTCTTTATGATTTAATGTAGCAAAATTGGATAATTGATTGAATACACGAAGCTATTAATAAAGGAATAAATAAATATTAAGGTTTGCTAGTTTCAAAGTTTATAGAATATTGTAAAATTGAAGATATTTTTTAAAGTTAACATTTGTCATTAGACAACCAGGAAATGCTTGATTACTAAGCAATTATATGCTCTGCAGAAATGAAACATGATGCATAAGGATTCGTATTAGGTGGTTATTATAATGCAAAGTATATTAATAGCCAGATTATTTGAATTGTACGGTAATTTCATTTTTATTATTGGTTGTGTTATTAATTCTTTACTATTGGCAACCCTAATTTGGTGTTTCAGTTGTCAGCAATGACATGAATAAACGAAGTGGGATATGAATAGTATGTGTGATAAGAGCCTTTCGCATTTTACAATACAATCTAATAAGAATCAGCTACATACATATTAATAGCATAAGGTAATTATAATTGGAATTGAATGGTGTGCAAAGAGAATCCCTTCTGTGATTACTTGGAAACTGGGGTAATATGTATTCCTTTTATTTAATTTTCTTAATATTTATTTTAAATTACTGGTAATTACAGTCTTTTATTTGCACTTTGCACATTTTATGTAACGATGTATTTCGGTCATTAGTGGTCAATCGATGGTAGATATATTGGTTTTAATTGGAATGTGTTAGTGTGTATTTCGTAGATATAATTAAACTTTGTTGTATATATTACTTTAGTTCTTTGTGCAGTGATTAGAAGTAGTGATTGCACCATGCCCAAAGGATTTTTTTTTGCAGCAGCAGCATTAATAGTTTTGTTTTGCAATACTATTGAAAGTGATTTGGATTCGTATGGCAGTTTTTTTTATTTAATTTATTTAGATGGTAGTGTTTCTCTTTTTGCAAGGAAGAACGAAAATATTTTGTAGAGTGTTAAATAAATGAGAAATGATGTCATGTGTTTATTCTTTAAAACCCAGTTTGGTAGTTATAACTTTTTGGACGAGACGACAGGTTCCTTCCTCGTGAATAATATCGCATGCAGAATGGCAACGTCGCACGATGATGGTGATGTCGTGCGCCCCCTCGCGGCCGATGTAGTACGTTTGCAAGTAGGAGGATCGTCTTGCAATTTCGGCGGTGGCCGTGTTATTCGTGTCAAATATGGCTACCTATTCAGATGGGACGGAACACGAATCCAGCGCGAAGCGAATCAAGTTGTCCATGGAGGATGACCGTTGTGGTAATTTGTGTCCGACGGAGGAGTCCTCCACGTGTCAATTGATGGCCGGACCCCAGGGAGACCCATCAGAAGGTAAAAAACGTAAAATATGTTTGCCTGTTTAGGGGATTAGCAAGCGATTCCTCAAAATGGCCGACCAGCCAGAAACAATTGACGGCACACTCGGAGTGTGATGAAATCATGGGCAGCGCGCGCGCGATTCCCGCGCTCCAGACATTTTTGTAGGCGTGCCCCCTTCAATTGATGATAAACAAATTTCATCATCATCTACCTTTTGTTAACGTTACTATAAGTCCAATCGTTTGACTCTGGCAATTTCGCGGTTCATACTTATATATTTTTTTTTTATTTTATTTTTTTTTTAAACTTGTAACAGCACATCACTTTGAATAGATTTCTTTTTTGTTTTAAATAAATCAAAAAACCAAAAGCATCTCTTTTATTTTATCTTCATATTCGTTTATGTGAACACCAACAATCTTTTCTGTTAAATCTTGTTTTCTACAACCGAGTGAAAATATTTCGGCGAACCAAAACGTCAAAACCACATGTTTTTGTTTACATCTGAATATTGACATGACGTTTGCCTATCCGAATGTCATCTGTAATGTCATAGGCGAAGTACTTCATAAACTATTTTTCAAATTTCAACTAATTGAAGCAAGAAAACTTATATAAACGACGTAAGTGGAATAAATAGTAAATCCTTTCTAACTTTTCAGATCTTATTCAAATATTTAATTCAACTCAACTTGTCGATCACATTGATTCTTGACAACATTTCTTAAATTATTTAAACATTTCAGTAAGAGTAGAAAGATATTTTGATATATTACATTTCCTACATACTACCATACTTAATAAATATATGAACTATAAAGCAGATATGTACAGTCCCTAATATTCAGTTAAAAATGTGTGTCTACGTTATCTAATTAGAAATTATGTTATAACCCAGGGGTTCCCAAAGTTTTTGGTTTTGTGCCCCAAGTCGAAACTTTGGTCTATCTCTGGGCAAACTTTATGTTAATATATCAGAATTTTCGGCGCCCCTGTAGTTCAGTAGTTTGGGAACCCCTGTTATAACGAATCAATTTTAGTTTCTATAGTTAGTTTGGTTTTTAATTGCAGGTAGGCATGTTACTATTTTTGTATCAAAAATTGTTAATTTTTAAGGCACTATATCCGATTGATGCAGACACAAATACTTTTTTTTGCATTTTTATGTTATATTATTTGAATGGTTTGAATATGTATATACTATTTCATTATTTATAAATTCTCAATTTAATATAATATTATAAACATTTTTACTGTTTTCTTGCAGATTCAGGATATGAAGCATCGACATTGGAATCTTTATCGACTCCGTTGAGGCGAGAAGTGGGATTAGAGAATATGGATGAAATGCCGTTGCATACTGATATGAGTAGAGATAGTATAGATGAGGACGTTGAGGACGAAGATGATGACAACGTTTCGACGGTGAGTGAGTTGAGCGGCCTCTCGGATCTATCCGGACAAGATTGGAAGCCCCACGCGGACAGCAGAACTTGGGTAAGTAGTGCAGAATCCCTTCAGCTTAGAAGGGTCATAGAATGAAGTCAAACTAACCTTTGCAGATACAGAAACAAATGCACAACGGCGTTGACCCACGTTCTATCCTAGTCGACCTCGGCGTCGAGTCTCATCAGATACCGCAATTCGTTGACGACGTAACCCTTTGGAAGCTGATCATAAATATGTTGGGAGATCCACCCAGGAGACACAAACTCCGGCACGTGAATACATTAGATGATATAGTGAGATTGCTTAAAGGTAATATCTAGTTTTGTGATTGTTTGAAGTAGAGTATACTCAATGTTTGATCACGTTTCAGGTGCCAAGAAGATAATTGTTTTAACTGGGGCCGGTGTATCGGTGTCCTGCGGCATTCCTGACTTCCGATCGCGCGATGGTATTTATTCGCGCCTGGCAATTGATTTTCCCGATTTGCCAGACCCTCAGGCGATGTTCGACATAAGCTACTTTAGCCAGGATCCGAGGCCGTTTTACAAATTTGCTCGTGATATTTACCCTGGGAAATTCCAGCCGAGTCCGTGCCACCGTTTCATCAAACTGCTGGAGAAACACGGGAAGCTGCTGCGGAACTACACACAGAACATTGACACACTAGAGAAAGTTGCGGATATCGAAAGGGTCATCGAGTGTCACGGGTCATTTGCGACGGCGACGTGCACTAAATGCGGGAACAAAGTCACGGCGGAGGCAATCAGGGAGATCGTGCTCGCCCAGAACGTTCCGGTTTGTGCAATTTGTAGACCGGACATCGGAGAAGCGATTGCTATAAACGAGCTAAGCGATCGGGAGCCGGACGAACTTCGAGATCTGGTCTCGTCTGGTATCATGAAGCCGGATATAGTATTCTTCGGCGAAGGTCTTCCGGATTCCTTTCACGAAGCAATGTCCGAGGACAAGAACGAATGCGATCTGCTCGTCGTCATTGGAAGCTCACTGAAAGTGAGGCCGGTTGCTTTGATTCCTAGTTCGCTACCATCTAACGTACCGCAGATACTCATCAATAGAGAACCTCTTCCGCACTGTCATTTCGACGTCGAATTGTTGGGCGATTGCGATGTCATCATCAATCATCTATGCCACATGTAAGTTAATAAAAATAATTGTCAGCTAGAGACTGTGGAGTGTATAGGAACGCCAATTACAACGATATATTTCTTGTTTGAATAGGTTGGGCTCCAGCTGGGAGGAAAGCATATATCAGGACAGATTGAACGAAGCTCTCCACCTACTGCCGCTGAAACCCACCGAATCCGTGGATAAATGCAATTGCGAAACTTCTTCAAGTTGTTCTTGTTTCGGACAGCAGGGCTCCAACTCCATGACGCAGAGCATAAAAGAGCGACACATGTCAGTAGATTCAGCGCGGGATTCGGGCATTGGAGAGAATTCGAACTTCACCGATGTTGATACTATGCGGTATGACGAAGACACCGGTGATAAGGTTCATGGAGAGCCGAAGAAGATCCAGAACGCATCCGACAGGGATAGCTTTCTGAACAACTGCGAGTTGGAGCTGTCTAGTAATGGTTTCACTGAGAACAACGAGGAGGTGGCGGCGGTTGCAGAAACGGCTTCGTCTGCAGCTGTGACGAGTATTCCAACTCAAAGCAAGGTGCAGGACATGCAGGGCTATTGGCAGCCTAAGGAAAAGCGCAGTATTACAGACAGACTACCCGCTAACAGCTACTACCTGATCCAGCCGAGCAGGTACATATTTCCAGGTGCGGAACTCTTTTACGATCCAGATGAGAAGTGCAGTTACTTCGACAACGCCAGCTCTGATTCGTCGGACAGCGAGTCAGAGGCGGAACCTGCGCCGCCTGACTCCACCTTCTAAAATCGCGCGCTCCCTCAGCGGCGAACAGTAAATTCCTTGTTATTACATGCATATTCATATTATTATTTTTTTGTTATATCTTGAGCGGGTGAATGTACAAGTGTGAAAGAGAGAGAGAGAGAGCGAAAAATGGACGAGACTGCATGATTATCGTATGATTTCTATTCAACTGGAAGAAAAGAAAAAAATCAAGTTAAATACTAGGAAGAAATAATTATTTTTTGATCTCTGAATTTGTTCTTGTAAATGATATAACATTTCGCGCATATAAATTTAATTATATATACATTATGTACGGATAAAAAAAGGAAATCACTTGGTTCTTCTAGATTAGAAACAGTTTCATAAGTAAAGAAAAATGAAAGGAGATTTTAAAATATTAAAAATTGATTCTTGTCATTTGATGTTGCGATGGAATATTTTAAGAAATCTACTATTGTGATTTTTTTTTAGTGTATACAAGGACGATGTTTTTTTTTCTAACGTGTTATTTATTTATATATATTTTTTTACAAGTACCTTTTTTAATTTTAATTTAAGAATGTTTGTAGTGTCTTTAGTTCATCTATTATTGTAACTATAAGAAAATGTTTAAATTTTCTGATTATGACAAATTGTCTACATACAGTGGAGAAACAGTAGTTGGTAGTTTATTTAGTATACTATGTTTTCATTTCATCTAATAATATCATCATTTCGCCATCGATTTCCTCATATCTCCAAATACGCTGCATATATTATATATTACATAAAACATATTTATTCGTTAGTTTCTTGTCTTGCGTGTTGTAAATAAAATTGTTGATGGAAGGAAGGAAATAAGAAACCAAAATTTATATTTGTATATCTTATAATAATAATACTTAATTGTTTCTTTTTTACTACACACACACACACTATTATTTTCTTTACTATTTTGAATTAATTATCCTAGGTTCTCGTATGCAGTGGAAGATAAAAAGAAAATGTAAATATTACTTATTAAAAAATAATTCGCTAACACGATTTCCTCCTCTACTCAGGAGATTCTTTTCATGTGCAAATTCTATATAGAGTTGTCATAGTTGATTAGAATGATGAGTTATAAATGATCAGTATTTTTCCTTTATTTTTATATAAATTTGAGATTAAGTTTTTTTTAATTGTACAATATTTATTACTTTTTTTTTTATATAAGTGAACTATAAATAAACCCATGATGAATTTAAATAAATTGAATTTTTTAAAATCATTGTTATTATTATTATTTGTTTGAACTGATAATGTATACTGATCATTTAGGATTCGTCAAATTATGCACATTTATATACATACATAATTATTGCTAAGATTTATATTAAGTATACAACATTCAAAATGTAGTGTAACCCAAACTTTACTTCATATACTTGTTTATATATTTATTTGTAAATTAATCTTATTTAAACGTAAAAAAAACTATTTTTTTCCACTATTTTTATATTTGCATAATCGAGACAGAAATATATATATATAAAAAAAATACGATTTACTTGTAAATATTGTAATATTCGTTAAATAAAAGCAATACAGAAAAAAAAGACACATTTATTATTTATTACTTGAAACATCTTTTAGAGAAGCAAATGAAAAGAAATTTTCTAAGCATGTTGATTGATGAATGTGCATTTTTTTTGTAACGTAAAAAACGTTTATAGTGTGGGACATACATAGGTAATGAACGTACACTGAGAGCTACATTGTTTATCATATTATCTTAATTATCTGGAAGGAATTGGTACATTCCAATTTAAAAAAAAATAATAATAAAACCTATTTACTTTTTTCTTGAAAGGCGTATTGGACCTTTCAGAAGATTAAAAGAACATAACAGAAACGAACCCTGGAGCAAACGAATTGTTTGTTTATATATATATAATATATATAATAAAACATACAGTTTACATATATATATCTCACTACCAATATTTAATCCTAAATTAGGCTTAACTGATCTCTCTCTTTCTTGCAAGTAATCATTTTCTTTTTTTTTATGAGATTAAATTTAAATAGTCGAAACTTAAAATTAACACTTATATCTTAACTTTTTTTTTATGTATACATATATAATATTTTGAGAGGGACACACACATTCCTAATGTTAACAATATACAAAAAAATACATCATTATTTTTTGTCTGTGTTGTGTAAAATAAAAATACATTTGAGAAAGGATCGGCGGCGACAGCCGGCGGTGTTTCTTCTTTCCCTACTTTCAATGGAATGATGATTATTTAAAATCGGCTATTGTAGGAGGTCCTAGGACCGCGGCCGCGGTTCCTGCGTGCTCCTCTGGGTGAGTAAGTTCCTTGGTTAGACATTAATCCACCTCTGCCTCCGCCCCTGTGGCCACCGGCATCTGAAATATCAAGAACTTCCTTAATACTATCATCACCATTCATATATATTTCTCATTTTACTAAGTGTTCGACTAACAATAATACTGAGAAAATTATTGTAGATAACTAGCGCATATTTAAATAGAAGATTTTTTACTCGATAAAACTTCAAAACTTTTTGTATTAAATGATATACAACGTAGAATAATATTTAGTGTAGCATACTTTAAATCAGTTGGAACTACTGATTTAGATTCTTTTGGACAATTTCCAATGTCATCCTCATATTATTACTATTTGTTATGCGTGATCCCAATAATTGTGAATACAACTTTTTCTGCTTGTGGAATTACTAATTTTAAAACATACCTTGTCTTGTAGCAGTTCTTGGAGGTATTTGTTGAGGTTGTTGAAGCTGCTGTTGGGGCTGTTGCATTAGCTGTTGCTGTTGCGGTTGATCTCCACCCCAGATGATCGGGGTTGGTAACGATCGACTGACACCGCGCACGTTGCTCTGACGCATGGTTCTTCTGGTTGCCACCGTTGTACCACCCCTTATGTTTCTGGACCTGGTGTTGGTGCTCGGAGATGCTTCAGCCTCTCTACCTTCCTCCTCACCATCCTCGGTGCTGGCAGCCTTTTCGCCTTCCGAACTCACCTAGAATGCAACGAACATTCCCAATGAAACATGAACGAAACATAATTGCTATTACTGTAGTGCCTAAATAGATGACGAATAGTGGATGTAGGTAGTTTTATCATCTCTTTTTGATGATAATTTGACAACTATTCTTGTAAATTTTACAATACATATTTACAATATGGAAGATGCGAGTATGGATGAAATTATTATCTTGAAATGTTGTTAACACAATGTCGAACAAGTATTTAATGATGGACATAAATTATAAAGTTTCAAAAAAGGAACATAGTTAAGGTCTTAGATAGGCATAATATAAAATAAAATTATGTGATTACACTAAACTTTTATAGTAAAACTGATCGATTATTTTCACGAACATTTTCATTCAATCTCAATACATTTATAATCTTGGAATAATTAATCTTACATATTACACCCAATCATATCAAAAAATAACCCTCCTTAAGATGCATCGCATGTTGAAAAAAAGAATGGAGACATTTAAAAAATACAACAATAATATTTTTACATTTTACTGTTGGATCTAAACAACGAATACATTTGGATGATGGGTTAATCGTGACCAATTAAAAGAAACCACCATATGAAACTGTTGGGAATTCAACGTGATAATATATTTTTGCTACTAATGATAGATATATAGGTGTATTAACAATAAATATATTCATTAAGTGGAACGTACCCCATCGTCTCCCTCCTGCATTTCTTCTACAGGGTCATTGCTTTGGTTGCCCTCTGTTGATGTACCTGCAACGGAAGGCGGGCCCATACAATCTCCACCTTCCGCTGATTCCGCCTCGTCTTCGGCACCGCTCACAGTTATGGTTGGGATATCATTTTCGTTTTGATGTGCTACTGCTTGCTCCTCGCTCGTGGGTCCGGATTCGTGCGGGGAGGTTTGCAATGGAGTACTAGGCACGCTCCTTCCAGTACCTGGGCACGCAAAAATTAAAAATAGTTTATACAACTAGTACAATATTATTTAGTAGTAATTTCGACTTACTATTATCATCTTGAGCCATTTCTAGTGTTTGTTCGGGAAGAACATCATTAGATCCTAGATTGCTTGGTGTACCAGAGTCTGTAAAAGTAAAACGTCCACTGGTTGGTACATTAGGAGAACTAACTGCCTCGCCAAAACCATCGCAACGACGGGCTACAAATAAAGTAGGAGTGGAGGGTACAATGCCTACGACGAAACAAAAACATTACAAATACTAAAACGAATACTAGTCTACAACGATAACCTACCATCGTCGCCGCCTTCTTCGATTCCGTGGGGCAAAAGAAGATGAGTTTGCTGTTGGCGGGATAAAGGTGCAACCTGTCTGGTGCGAGAAAACGAAGGCAACGTTACAGCCACAGAAGTGGACACGTTCGTTCCGCTGCTGGTAGCCTCCGGCTGCATTACTTCCTCCTCAGTTTCCTCGACACCTTCGCACTCCTCCTCCTCTTCCCCGTCGACAGGCATGAGATCGCTCTCGGCACCTCTCTCACTTTGATTCGGTACTTCACTGGAATCTTCAATTACTTCCACTTCGTTACCGACGTGCTCTGTCATTAAGAAGTTCAATTAGCAAACAATCAAACCACTATATGTTATATACAAACCTTCGTCGTCTTGATCAGGATCTTGCGTGTCGGGATCTTCGTAGGGCATATTGTAATCTTCACCTTCTCCTTCATCCGGTCCTTCCTCGTCACTTTCGACTACGATGACTGCATCCTCTTCATGATCTCTTTGACTGCTAGTCGGTACTTGATACTCCACTTCCAAACCACTTTCGCTTACACCACTTTCGACCCCACTGCTAGTACCAGGCTAATAATATTACATAAAAAGCGAGTTAATAAATACATTCATTCACATATATTATACACTTACCAATAGTCTAGTTCTTTTTACAGCCTGAGTCGTTTTCGCACCATCTTCATGTTGGTTTTCAGTATCAGCTTCTCGTGGTCTTTTGTGACCTGCTTGAGTTGTAGTTACCGTATTGGAGGAACTGCTGCTGGTTCCTTGCTCTTGAGCGGGACTGGGCGGTTCAACGCGAGGCAGAACCAAAGCAACAGCCTGTTGCTGGGGAGCTTGTTGTACCTGCATGGTCGTGTCTTCATCTTCGGTGTCCTGATTGGACTGAGTTGGTGGAACAGCAACTTGCCTGGGTCCCAATAAAGCTGAACTCGCTGAACTGGTAGCAGGAACATAATCAGTGTGGGAACTGGTAGGACTTGACGACATGGCTTCAATGCTGCTGCTGCCGGTAGTATGGACTTGCTGCTGAGGTGGAACCATCACAGTGCTTGGACTTTGGCTGGTTGGTAGGACGGCCACAGTTCTAAGTTGCATTGACATCGGACGAATGCTAGCAAGTGGTGGTTCTCCACTACTTCTCCATGGTTGAATTGGTACAGACTGGGTCTGGGTATTAGTTGAATGTCCGGCCATCGGTTTGATATTAGCTGTCGGTGGCTCTGATGTGGACTTTTCCTTTTCTGAACTAGTGCTCGGTTTCGAACCTTGCTGTACGCCAATTTGCCTTTGCAATTGACCCACTTTCTGATTTAAAGATTCAATCTCCTGCAAATAACGCTCCTTATCTTGTTGTTTCTGACTTGCCAATTCCTCCTTTTCCTTGTGGCAACGCTCTAGATCGGCGGAATCTCCTTGCTGCTTCGGAGGATCATTTGATCCAGAACTGTTCTCTTTGTCGATTTGATTCCTTAAACTAGAATTTTGCTCGGTCAACAGCATAATTCTTTCCTTGGCATTCTTGAACAGAACTTTGAAGCGTTCTTCTTTCTCCAAGCTATTTTGTAAATTTTCTTTAAGCGTCTCTATCTCTTTCTTGTTCTGTTCGTTCTCTTCGACAGAGGAAGAAATACGTACATTCATTTCATTCAATTTCTCGTTGTGCGTTTGCTCAAGTTGCGTTATTTTTTCATCAGATTGACGTTTCACCTCTTTAGCATCTTCGCTTGAGGAACTCTCGCCTTGTTTATCCTCTGCTACCTTTTTCAAAATTTCCAATTCTTTCAATTGTTCCTCCGCTTGGATCTTATATTTCTTAGCAATCTTTCTTATTTGGGCCAAGTTATTTTTGACGTCGACGACCATCGTTTCTTTAGCTGCTAAATTTTCTGTTAAAACACGATTATCCTCGTTGACTCTGATCATTTGGTTACGTGATTGTTCCAAATCTTGGTTCAGATTATTTACTTGTGTGCGTAATGAGCCCAACTCTTCAGATAATTTATCCATTTCGTCCTTCTGTTGCTCCTGTTGTGCTTTTAATTGTCTCAGACTATCCTCCAGTTTAGCTTTGTCTTTTGTGAGTACATTATTTTCTTCTGTTAACCTGGTGGTATTAGATCTTTCGATCGTCAGCTGTTTAGCCAGACTCTCACGTTCACCTTGCAACTTCTTCCAATCTTCGGGACTGGTTCTGTTCGATCTTTCGAGCAGGTTATTGGCACGCTGTCTCCATCGTGTAGCCTCACCACGCAGAGTAATATTTTCTGTTTGCATTGCTTCAGCCTTCTTTTGAAGTTCTGTATTTTTCTCTTGCAAAGGAGCCAATTGTTCTTCCAGATTTCCTGTTCTCGCTTTAAGTTCATTTAATTCCACAATCAATCCATCTCTTTCCAAGCGTAAACTTCTATTACTATCAGTAATAGCGTTCAATGTTTCGACTTTCCTTAGAACTTCGGCATGTTTGGCTGCAGTGACGATGGATACCTCGGATTTCTGGCGTTCATTCTCGATAGTTGCCTTAGCTTGATCGTACTCTTTCCGAAGCAAGTCATGTTGTGCTTTAATTCTCGTATGTTCGGCATCCAAAATTTCACATTTACTAACAGCAATATCCTTCTCCTGTCTTAAGTACTTAATGATCTTCAATAACTGGTCTGACGATCGAACATCATCTTCTGTAAAGGATCTGTTCGATTCATTCATAGATTTATTATGAGGATCTATAAGTTGCGTTTGCATCAGCGACATCTGAGAATTTAACTCTTGCAGTTGATCCAACAGCAGCGTGTTTTGCTTATCCAAATCAGATAATCTCATTTGTAATTCGGTCTTCTCCTTTATAAACTTCTCTTCCTGAACACCCCAACTGGATTTGCTTTCCTCCAGCGCTTCAATTGAACGATCTCTTTCGAATTTAACCTCATTGACTTCATTGAGAAGCTTGTTAAGATCTTCCTTGACGGAACGAAGTGCTTGCAGATCAGCCGAATGCAAAGACATCTCTCGCGCATATTTATTTTCAGCAATCTCTAAATTCTCACTGAGCTTGCTAATTTCAGACTTTGCAATATCCAACTGTTCTTTGGTCTCTATTAATTCGGTTGTCGCAACTTTCTGCTGAATTTCAAGTTTATGCAGTTTTCCATGCAAATTAGATGTAACAGAAACCTGGCCATCTGTTTGCAGCGACAATTCACCTTGTAGTTCAGCGCATTTCTCCTCCAGCTCTGTAAGTTTGCTCTGAAGATCCGTGATCTTGGATTCATAATTTGTCTTATCATTCTGATATTTCTCCGTGATATCAATTAGTTGCTTCTCGGCTGCTAGAGCAACATTGCTATGCTGATCAACAGCTTCTTTCGAAATTTTTAATTTATTTTTCAAGGCCTCGATCTCTGCTTGACGATCACTGCATTGCTGCTCCATTTCTCTATACTTCTTGGTTTCAACGGAAGTATCCATATCACCCATAATAGAGTTCTTCAACTTTTTGGACAGCTCCTCTAGTTGAACAGATTTCGCAGACAGATCGTCTCTGGATTCCATTAAGTCTTTTCTGAGCTTGTCAGCCAAGTCTTTCTCTTCTTGCATTCTCGTCTGAGCTGTTTTTGTTTGCTTTTCTAAATGTTCTTGCGATTCCCTGAAATGATCCTGTTCTTCCTGTAGCCTTCTACGTAACGCAGCGCATTCACGATGAGCTTCCTTTAGAGTTTCCTCTACGCGAATCTTGCTTTCAGCATCATTCCTTTCCAGTGTAGCTTTAATAAGCTCGATATTAGTTTGCATTATCACATGCGAATTATGCTCTCTGTGCATGCTCTCTCTTTCGCGAAGCAAACGTTTTTCAGATTCTTCAATGAGCGCGTGTTCTTTCCTTAAACCGGCTAAGTTCACTTCCAGTTTGGATGCAGCTCTTTGCGCTTCCATCAATTGTTCATTTAAGTACGACTGTGCCGTTTCGTGTTTAACGATGGACTCACTGTAGATTCTATTCCTTTCTTCCAAGCGTTCAATTTGATTCTTGTATACATCCGCATTTATCTTGGATACCTTAAGCATTTCATTGTTAGTCTCAACTTTGGCACTTAGTTTAGTATTTTGTTTCATAAGTTCTTGAATTTCGGTTCTCATCTTCTCAGATTGATCGACCAACATCTTTTCATTCGTGTCCTTCTCCTTTTTGTATACATCAAATTCATCTTTGGACTCGAGCAACTCCTTCTTCAATTTCTGAAGATTTTCCTCCAGCTCTTGAGTTTTATCATTGGCATCCGTTTGCATCTCATTTTCATTTACACTTGAATCATCTTTTTCCTTGACCGCCGGAATATTCTCCTTCGTTCCTTTAACAAACTGATGGTAAAGATTCTTGTATGTATCCCTCTGGTCCATCAACATCTTCACCATGTTGTTCTGCTTTTCCTGTTCCTCCAAGAGTTCAGCGTGTGATTCTCGCATAGAATCCAACTTCATCGTCAAATTTGCTACCATACTTGGATCTAGCATTTCCGCTTCTTCTTGTTTGGTACTAAGCTCTCTCACGAGCGCAAGTAACCTTTGATTGTTAGTTTGCAGATCGTAAATATCATTAAAAGTAACCAAACGCTTCGAAATGATATCACACGACGTTGTGCTGTCGTTCTTGTCAAGCGGTGGCTGAATAGAGCAAGTACCGCTACGCGAATGTTCAATTTCGCGTAAAAGATTGCAGACCTGGCGGCCCAGATCGGTTATTTCCTTTTTCATTCGCGCATTCTCTCTACTGGCAGAAGCTGAAATTACACAAGCATTTGGTTATAATAAATGTGCAGATTATTGTCAATATAAGATTACCTTCGCTCCTCTTATACTCGGAATTCATAACTCTTAGTTGTTGGTTCTCGGACATAGTATTTTCGATTTGCTTAGTTAGCTCCTCGATTTTCTCCAAGGCAATTTCATAGTGCTCCCTCTGCTTCGCGATTAAAGGACCCTTGTCTTCGAGCTCTTTGACGATGTTGTGCATGTAATTGTGCAGCCTTGCGTTCTCAGACTTTTCTTGCGCTAATAGTTCGGACACATGAACGTACTGCGAGTATATTTCGGTCTTTGTCGCTGGTGATTTGGTGAAACGTGAAGCCGGTGTAGTATTTGGCGAAATATCGTCGTTGTCAACGTTACCATTGTCTTGCTTGTTGGTCAGCACCTCGTTGGCAGTCTGCAATTCTTTTTTAAGCATAGCTATGCACTCGTTCTTTTTGTTTAAAATTTCCTCGTTGCAAAGTTCGGATTCTTTAAATTTAGTTTCCAGATCGCCGTATTTATCCAATGCCTCTTCAAGTTTCTCCTTCATTTCTTGTACTGCATTTGATAATTCTTCGGCATGTTTGGTCTGCTCCTCGTTGACGCCCTTGTACAGTTCGGCGATCTTTTTCTGGGCGTCGACCTCTTGCTGGAAGGCTTCCAGTGTGTTCGAATGGGTGTCTTTCTCCGTTATCATCTTCTGCATCAATTCCTCGGTTTTTGCCATCAAGTTGTTATTAGTTTCAGTCAGAGATTTAATGGATTCATTTGCAGCAGCCATCTCTTGTGTCCTCTCAGACAACTTGATTTCTAGCTGAACGCATCTGGATGTATTATCGCGTCTCATGTTTAGATTTTCTTCGATCTTCTTCTCTAAATCGGTGTTCAAGGTGTCAATTTGATTGGTAAGCAAGGAACGTTCCTGCTCCATGCGTTTCTCCCTGTATTCAATGGAAAGCTTCATGGAGTCGACCTCGTTCACTTTGGCCAATACTTCACATTTTGCAGCAACAGCATCTTCCAGTTGTTTCGTTAACGAATTAATGTCGCTCTGCATACGTTCCAGCTCGCCATTTCGGCGTTCCACCATGCGCGAAAGTTCATCTCTTTCATCTGTGATCAAATTTCGAGAATTTCTCATCTCAGCAAAGTCCTGTTCCATTTTATTAGCGTTGACCTATTATGAAACAACAACAAAATATTAGTGGATGAAGAACATCGCTAGATTCACATTCAAAATACCTGTAATTTGGTAACATCTCCCAAGGATATGGTAAGTTGTTTTTCCAACTCGGAGATGGCTCCATTAGCTTTATCCAGCTTCTTTGATAACTCATCTTGCTGTTTGATAGAACCCTCACACTTTTTCTCTACATCTAATAAAGTTTGTACTGCAAAATTTAGCAAATAAATAAGTTAGTTTATCAAGAATATTCCAAGCAGTAAATATATATATATATGAGATTATTTTTGTTTGAAATTCCACGTAAAACAAAGAAAATAAACAATCAACAATGCGATTGTTTTGTTGGTGGCGTTGGTATTCGCAGGTATCGACATTTGAAACGATGGATGGACCGTTGCAAATAAAACGGGTAGAAAAAAACAAAAGCGTATAAAAAAAAATGAAGCACGAATCGAGAGGGCTTTTAGGATGGATTTAGATGATCAGCGGTTGCTACTTACCGGCATTGTAACTCCTGGTTTCCAAAAGAGCGCGAGCAGTGATGAACTCATCCAATTTCTCGCCGATGTTGATCTCCAGCTTTTTAATGATTTCGGAGGGAACCCTTTTCCATTCCTTGTCGGTGATCGCCGCGCTCACGATATCTCTGCCAGTGCACTTCTCCTCCATCCTGACCACTAAATCTATTTGTCTCTAGTCAAACGAACAATCACAGCATGTCACAAAAACACTCTACGGACAACAGTTTCACAAAATGTATCTCCTCTGACAAATGGCTCTCTTTCACTTACAATGCGAAGCAACGAACAAACGAACACCAGCCAACAGAAAACATGCCGGTTACATTACTACCCATAATGCATTGAAAATAACGCTTGCCAACCCAACGACGACGAACCGAAATGCAGATCTATTTTTAGGACCACCCTCACCTCACGCTCGACACCTAAATTACGAATTCGCTAATTATTTAGTTGTACAAACAATCGTATGTCCTCAATTAAAACCCATCGATCCGCTAACAACGCGATTTCAAACTGCACAGTACACGCGAGGTTGGCATCACTGGACCTTCTATTTTTGATGCGTAGGATAAAATATTCAAACTTGCACAAGGGCTGTTTACTAATTCTATTTTAATCACTTTATTCAAAGCTAAATCCTTAATGATTTGCAGCTAAATCACGTAAAGAACGTCAACAAATAACTACACCTATCTGCTGTAGCTCGAACGCTTTTAATTGCAGCATTCGAAAAACATTTGTAAAAGTTTTTAAGTTTCTTAAAAATGTAATGATTTAATCATAATTTTTCATAAAATATGTATGTTTTTTTATATATGCTTAATGCTATTACCGTGAATTGCACGGCGCAGCGACAAGTAAACAGGGTGCGGTACCGATCTTCTTATTACCCTCGCCGTCCCGCGGATCTTGAAATTCAGCCACGTTTCGCTTTTGTAATCAAATCTTGTTGATTTTTAATATAAATATACAAGCAAACATAACGCTTTCATAACATTTTTATATTTCCTGTTGTTATCGTTATAGGTAATTGTATCATACAATACATGTATTAAATAACAAAGGATTAAAATCGAAAGTGTCGCAGTATACAATAGTATACTTAGTAAGGACTATGTCTATCAATTCACTATAGTTATGCTGTAATTTGAGAATTTACCATGCCAAACAAAAATACAACTGATTGAAAAAAAGGGCTTTCAATTAACACAAGTGATTTTGAATGAAAATATGAAAACATAAATATATATTAAATAGATCGAAGATGAATAAACGTTGTTAAAGATTGAAATGAAAATGTTTCTAATAATAGTTTTAAAAAAAATATTGAAATAAGTACAGTAATATAATAGAAAATATCATTTTATTTTAAATTGTACAAGTTTGTTACACTTTTGCGGCCAAACTTTGAACGCTTTTTCCTTGAATATAACCCAATTGCGTAGGTACTCTTCTGAGGCTTTCTTTGCTTCATCGTAAGTTGCATCACAAAAATCCGGACGAAATTTCACAAATTCCCGGAACAATTCTATACGGCACACAGATAACCTACCAGCAGCTGTATTCCTGTTCTTCTTTGTTACTCCTTGCCTTTTTCCATTCACAGCTACCTGTGCTTTCTCGCTTGAAAATTTATATTTTAATAAACTGCTATGTTCTGCTTTACACGTAATACTTACTTTTTATAGTAAATTATGCTTGATGGGCACGCTTGCTTCATTTCATCCTTGCAATGTTTGAAAGGTACATCGCTCTGGGCTATAAACCATGTCTTTGTTTCATTGTAAGGAGGTTCTAATTGAATTTTCAAAAATCTATTAATCAGGGCGCGATTTAAAGCTTCAACATTAAAGGTAGTCCCTCCAGCTATCGTAAATGATGTAAGATGAATAGGTGCTTCGATTAATATGCTCAAGAGAGATCCTTGCAGACCGAGATGCATCCATTTCGCAAGTTTATCGCTGCACGAGACGGAAAGCGTCGGATCACCTCTACCTGAAAACCCAAATATATCATTTATGTATCTAATTGTTATTGATAAATTAATGCACCACACCTGGCTTAGTTCTGACTGCTCCAACAGCATGGTAATTGAGACCATCTTCCAATGGATCGCATTTTTCATCCTCCAACAAGCACTTGGCTCCTGTTCTATGAGTATCAAGTTTGATCATTTTATTTGATGGTTCTTCGGAATCGTCAAGTAAATTACCCAAGTTATCAAAATCTGCGTTCTTTGGGAATATGGTAGCATCGCCGCAAGGGACGTGAGTTGTGAAGAAGTGAAATTTTACAGAATCTTTTAATTTGAATTTGTTGTCGTTTTTAACGAACAAGTTCGGGTCATTTAAGTTAAGGTATAGATATTTAATGAAGCCACGTCTGCATAAGACTTCAGCATGCGAATCGTTCAGGATATCCCCATCTGAAGACATGGATTTTGCCCCGATGCATTTGGATCCAGTGGCAAGGGAAACAATGTCAAGTTTGCCATCGATTTCCATTGTTATCGTCGAGAGGATCGTCCATTCGTTCGATGTGGGTTTACCAGATTTGGGTAGATTTTCGAATTTGGAATAGCTAAGAGTAGCTATCCTCCTGTGAAACCCTTCGTCATACATAATATTGCATTTTACCTTACGACATTATTGGCGATTTGAAGGTTAGGTGAGTGATGCCAACGTTAGTAAACAAAGAGAAAGAATTGGTTTGTTTCATATTTGCCCTAAGGTACAATGAATCATGATACAAATATACGTATATTTGTATGATGGCAATAAATAAATTGAATGTAAATATAAATAAAGAGTTATATGAAAGGAGGTATGGATCTGAGGGCTAATTTGATGATATTAAAGGATGGAAAGTGGTCTGATCCAGTAAAAAGGGCTAACAAGTGGAGTGATGAGAAAACCATTGGCTTTGTGCAGGCCTACAAGTCATTCCCTTGTCTGTGGAATTTTGGTAGCGAGATGTACAAGGATAGGGATGCCAAGGAGTCATCATACAATGCACTTAGTGAGCAATTTGAACTTAATGTACAGGAAATTAAGTATAAGATAAAGAACCTACGATCCACCTATTTCCAAGAGATGAAGAAAATTAAGCACTCTAGAAAGTCAAACAAAGAGTACTCCTCTAAATTAATATGGTTCAATGAAATGTCCTTTCTGCAGAAAACTGCAAGAAGTGCCATGACCAGAAACGAGGTAACTTGAGATAGATGGTTGCAAGTCTAACATTCTTAAATGTTTTCTTTTAAGATGGTTTTTCCATCTAATGGTTTGCTATGGGGGACCGAGCAGAAAAGACTCGACGATGGTGTCTCGAGCGAGGAAAACCCTAAGATATTTATAGAAGATGAATATGACGTGTTCGGAAAGCACGTATCGCAACAGCTGCGTAAAATGGATCCATGCAGGGCGATGAGAGTAGAAGCTAGTATACAATATTTGCTCTCCAAAGAGCGACTGGAAGAGTTACAATCTTCGGCTGGCCAAGTTAAAATCGAATGTCCGGATTCGCCGTTCTGCAACACGAACGATGATCATAGTCGCGTATAAGAATCAAAAAGTTGCAGGAAATCAGATATTTAACCTCGGAAAAAGGGTTTTTGAAACGTTTCTTGTTGAATCGTTTCAATATATAAATAACGTTACTTTTTTTTTTAAGTAAACAAATAATTTCCTTTTTATAGAACATACATATACATATATGCGTTGTTTTGTTCATAAGACGATGTCCGGATTCCAAGCGTATTTGATTTGCTTCCGTTGATTCAAAGAATTCATGTCGTCTGATGAAATGTCGAAGTTCAAATCGATATTTGCGAATATGTGATCTCTTGACCTCGCTTTTGGGATTATACCGATGTTCTGTTGAAGCGCCCAGCGCAGTAATACCTGAGAACGATGCAGTTATTTATCGAATTTGTTTTGTCGAGTAATTCAGAAATATCGCACCTGGGCCGGTTGTTTGTTGAGTCTTTTGGCAATACTAGTCACAGCAGAGTCCGATATTAAGTCGTTATTGTGACTTCCACCAAGTGAAGAGTATGCCTGAAGGAGAATACCCTCCTTTATGCAAAACTCGTGCAAAGCACTTTGGTGATAATGTGGATGCCATTCAACCTGAATAAATGTGTTATATAAATATATATATAATTGATTGATATATAATAAAAACTTTTATCACCTGATTGACAGAGGGTTTATCATTTGGAGAAAATGCCAGCAGATCCTCCAAGTGTCTGATGGTGAAATTGGAAACACCTATGTCTCTAACCAAACCCTTGTTGCGGGCTTGAATCAAGTTCCTCCAAGTGCTCTGTCGCACAGAGATGTTGCTGGGGTGATTTGGAGCCTGGGCTTGCTGTCCAGGCCAATGTATCAAATACAGATCCAAGTATCCACAATCCAATTTTTTAAGGGATTGCTGCAATGCCAGAAAACTCAGGTCACCATGGTGACTGGGTGCTAAGTAACCATAAGTAATTTAATAAATGTGAAAGTGTTGACGCTGCTGCAAACTCACGTAATTTGCTTGTAATGAAAATATCTTCCCTTTTTAAATTATGCTTGGGCAGAAGTTCTTTCAACGCCTCGCCGATGTCCTCTTCGTTGTGATAAACGTAGGCGGTATCTAAATAATAGTATTGAATGGGTATAGCTGATATGAGGTCAATTTAGATTAAAGTGCTTTTACCTATTGATCTGTAACCTGCCTGAAGTGCCAGATCCAAAACATCCCTAATCAATTGTTTTCCCTTGATTTGGAACGTGCCAACTGGAAAATCGATTATCGGCAATTGAAAACTGCTTGTATTGTTATTGCAGCGAGATATACGTACATCCAATTAACGGTATAGCATTTTCACTCAATAGTTTATAGGTTAAACTTTTGCAATCCATGTTTTGTTGGTAAGTTTAATGATAAGTGGCCGCAACTTCCTAGGTAGGAATCATCAAGGTCGTTGCACTTTCTAAACCGAATTCGTGCGCTCCGAAATTGGAAAGGAACTGCTCAAGAGAATTGAAACCAAGAAACATTTATTGCACTAGATATACTGGCTTTTAATAATATGCTTTAAATTACATACAAAGGGAGTGTGTGTGTGTGTTCGAATTACGTTTACAAACATCGCAAAATATAAATTAATAACATTTTCTTCTTCTCTTCTTCATTCTTATTAAATGCATGTATACTATGTAAATATATAGACAAGGTGAATTAAGTGTGATGGTCATAAAAACAAATGATTTCTATGTACAGATGAAGAAACCTGAGATCAATAAATATTTAAAACATTCACACAGTTGCATGTAGTAAAATTAAATAATAAAAAAAAATGTTGGAAAGATGTGAGGGCTTCCTTATTGCCAATTATATGAACACTGTTCCTCCATTGAATAGAATTTTGGTCCTAATGGAAAGGTTTTGCTTTTAAATATTCAATCACTGTCATCCTCATCGTCGCCGTCTCCGTTTCTTATTATCAACGGTTTGCATGTCTTATCATCGAGCATGCCGTGTTCGACCAAGTATCCTTGAACATCTTCCACGTCGAAGTCGTTTCCTAAATCATCGGTGAGACGAACGAAGTTACCAACGACCTGACCTGCCTTGTAGATCAGAATTGCCGGGACGCCGTTATTCTTGAAGCAACGGCTAAGTCCCGCGTGCGAGCCAATTATCGCGCAAAATTTAACCGACTGATAAATCTTGCTTAACTCTTCGAAGGCTTCGTTCATCAATCTGCAAGCAGGAACGTTGTTCTCGTAGATGTGAACGACGATTTTCACGGCTTTGTTCTCGTTATCGATCGCATCCAAATACTCGTCTCCGTTATTTAAATAAATCAACTTTCCAAACTTCAGGTTATGCTCGGTCTGCTGAAGCATTTCCTGCATGCGTTGCTTCTGGTAATTCAGGAGGAAATCGTCGTTTAAAAGCTCAGCAAGGTCGGGATCCTCGTTTTTGGCCTTCTCTTCATCCAGTGCAGATTGCACTGTTAATGTGAGCTTCTTCATCAGCTCTATGCGTTCCTTCTCATCATCCACCCTCTTCTCAGCCTCCAATTGCTTGAAACGTTGCCAATCTTTTATGACCCCCTTAGGACCAGTGTTTGTTGAACTGCCCTCCCATTTGTTAGGCTCTGGCAATTGTGGGGCTTCCTCCTTGGTCCCTTTAACCTTACCTTCCTCTGAATCACTGTTATCACAATCACTGTACTCATCCTCACTGCTGCTGCAGTAATTGTGCAATTTCTCGCCCAGAATTTTATCCTCTAACGTGGCCATAATGTTCACTTACTAAATAGTTTTACAAAATATTGTAGATAAGATACATAACAAGCAAAGACTATGTTTCCATTTGTGTTGACAATAAATACATATATAAAATCCACCAGATGGCACTTGAAATTTATTTTACATTACTATTATTTTATACCTTCACTTAATAATGTTGAACTAAATTATTATTAAAAGTATCTCTGTTGCTGATATACTACATTAATTAAATTAATTAAGTAATTGTAACGATAGTTGCATATATGCACTATTCAATTTTAAAATTGTCCAATTGGTTGCAGCATCGTAAACCAAACAAATAACGAACTAAGGGCGTCAAATTTTGAAATAATGAAATCGGTCTTTGTTTGTTATAATAATTGAATAAGTGCCCTTCCAGTATGTCCGAATACACCAATATTAGTGATAAAGAAAACCTCGAGTCGTTGATCAAGAGACTGGCAGCGGTGAACGAGGAAAATGTAACCTATAAAATACTCTATGACTCTATTAAGGATGTACTTTCCGATGGGATCTTGAATGATGAATTCTGCAAGAAGATTAACACAGTGCTGATATCCCAAGAACTATTGCAAACTGCCCACATAGGTCCAAACACAACAGTATTTGATTTCCAAGAACCACAAGTGCAACTCACCTACCAAGAACAAGTTACTTTAAGAGATGCCATCGAGTTAAAATTGATAGAAAAGCAGAATGAGATTGAGTCATTTGTTAAATCTGTATCCAAAGGTGAACTGGAGTCATCATTAATACTTCCACATGTAAATATAAATGATAAAATCTTATTGGATCTGAAGGCCCAATTGCATGAAGAGCAAACAAATTATCTCAATCATTTGGTAGAGAGTTCAAATCTGTTGGAAAGCATTGTCAAACTCAGGATTGAGAAGTTACCCCAAATATGTGATGCTAAAACTCAGGAAACATACTTTAACACTAAAATTAATGAAATTAAAATGAAGATTATCAATGAGAAAGTGCGAGTGTCCATGTATACAGAGGCCACTGTGACTTTTGATGCATACCAGGAATTTGTGAGGGATTGCCATGTCCAGCAGGAGGAATGCAAAAAGGAAATTGACAATTTGAAATTGATGAAGGAAAAGTATAAGATAGTCTCATGCAAAGAGTATGATGAGATCTTGAAGAGCTACCTGCAATATAAAACAGCCATAGACAAAATGAGTGAACTCTATAAGAAACTGAATATTAAATGTTAAGTGATGTTTATACAGACAATATATATATATGTACACAAATTTACAAGTATGTTTATGAAAAATACTAATGAATCGAGGATTGTATATTTTTTTTAATAATATTAATTAATCTTTAAGAAGGTTTCCTCATTCTCCTCAAAATAGCATTGATCCTTTTCCTCCTTTCATGGCGTTCAGATTTTGTGAGAAATAATTGTTCATCAACTGAATCAATCTCCACATCTTCTTCACCTGCTTTATATCTCTATGGAAAAAAGTTAACATTAATATTGTAACTGCTTTGGATATATATTTTTTTTTACTTGAAATCTATTCAGTCTCCAAGCTTCTTGGGCTATGGACCATCTGCAAAGATACCGATATATTCTTGAAATTATTTCGACAACATTATCGTCGGTTACAGCAAATCCATGTTTCGTCCAGAAAAGTTCGAAAATTTTCATTTGATAATTAACTGGTAAATGGTATTTCTTCAAACGCCAGTGTTTTCCATCGTATCTTAAATAGCAACGGAACGTAGCATTTTGATCGATGTATTCGACGATTCGGCTTGGCCAAAAATAAAACTTTATTCTTTCTGCTGTTACTAGCGATATTTGAACAGCTGGTAATGATTTTAAATGATAATGCACAAGCTCAGCCACAGCATCGTCCCTAACTGAGAAACACAATGTTGAATTGAAATTGCATATAATTTGCAACACTTACCACTTCCAGACATACTAGAGCGAATGAAATGCGCATAAATGAAATGTTTGGTTTCTTCGAGAATAGAAACGGATGTTGACCTTCGAATTTGTATGCTCTTGTGCGCATATTTTGCAAATTAAAAATGAATGCCGACATTTTTTTTTTAATATGAAATTATAAAGAAACAACCCAGTTGAATTAAGCAATTTACGATTAATTGTATTTCATTAAATGGAAATTCTTAGAGGAAATAAATGAATGCTTATCTAAGAAACAAAAACTTTAATTATATTTTAATATATGTTAATTGATATTTATTCAATTTCGTATAGAGATGTACAAGACCAAAACGAGTCCAACAATTGGAAATGACGTGTGACGACTGATAAATAACGATTGGATAATAATATGCAGTAGTAGTAAATGAACTCTTTATAGGGCCATGTTCCTGCCCTCAATGGAAATTTCAACGGCACGTTTACTCTGTTTCGCACGCTTAGTATCTACAAAGTTCTTGTAGTGCCTCTCGAAACGATTCATCGATTTTTTGGTAGACTAAAATCAAACACAACAATCAGCATGTGAAGTTATCGAATGTCGTTTATACATACCCGGCTAATATCAACTTCAGATTGCCATTTCGGTCTAACACAGTAGTCTTTATTAGAAGGTACGGGTACTCTGGCACGAGCTACCCAACCTTTGTCACCTGGGCGAAGAGTTTTGCCTTCCTCGCTGCCCATAGCTTTACCAATATCTTTATCACGCACCCTCTCCGAAGGACCGGCATCACTGTCCCTCCTCCTTTTTGGCATTTGCTCCATGTCCCTTTGCAGCCTCTCCTCTCTGCTCATAGCTAAATAATTGTATAGTTAATATATTAAGATCGTTGCTAATGTCGCTGGTATCGAACCCTTAAAGTCAGCTGATAAATTGAAGATGGGTCTCGCCCATTCACTGATGAGTTTTCCTGCTCTCTCCTTGTTTTCCTTAGACTCCTTCGGATGTTTATACAAGTACATCACTGCTTTTCCGATTCCAGAGTGTTTGAGAGTCGATTGATCAATCCTTGGGAACTGTCGATAATATTAGTAAAGCCGTTGTTTAAAATCAAATGTAATATTTATAACTTACATCCCAGAGCAACTTCAAAATGGCATCGCGAACTTGCAAAGATGGCATAGATCTATCTGGCATTGGCGCTAACCAATCAGTCAATATGCTAAGGACATTGTGCTCTATAAATGCTAATTGCAGATCGTGCTTCTTCAATTGAGACATCACCTTGTGAAGCATTCCAATTTTCTTAGTCGCAGGTTGACTCGTCTGATTCAACCTTCTGTCTTCCTACAATTGAAGTTGTGTTTTTATTATTTATTCTCGGTTAAAATAGAAAAGCATCTCTTACCTCTGCTGCGTTTCTCATATCGCTCAAGAGTTGAGCAATAATGTCGTCGTTATCGTTAATAATATCAATATCCTTGCGTTTGCGTCTCTTCTGATCCTCACGTTTCTTTTGCAGCATCGCCTCGAAATCCGATACACCATCGTGTCTGTAAATACAAAAGCAATTAGCAATCGTATATTAACATATCTACTAGTATCTTACCCTCCTTGTCTGTTGGGATCTATACCGTCGTCTGAATCATCGGAGACATTAGGAAGAACTTGTTCGGGAGGTTTGGCTGCGGCCTCATCACTTTTCTGTTCGTTGCCTTCATTCTCCGCATTCTCATCGTCACTGGCAAGAATCTTCTTCACTTTACTTGGCCCTGCATCGCCCTCATCTTCAGAATCGGAAATCAATTTTCTCTTTTTGGCGACTTTCGCTTCATCTCCCGATCTTGAGCCAGATCTTGATCTCGATCTGGAACGCGACTTTGAGCGTGAACCAGATCTCGACCTGGAACCGGATTTGCTCCTGGATCTGGATCTTGAGCGTGATTTGGATCTCGAACCGGATCGCGATCTCGCCGATCCTGAACGTGATCGAGAACGACTCCTGGAGTTCGAACGTGATCTCCTTGATCCACTACGAGATCTGGACCTCGAACCGGATCTTGAACGTGATCTGGAGGCTTTCCTGGAACCAGATCTGGAACGCGAGCCTGATTTTGATCTAGACCTGGATCTCGATGCTTTACGAGATCCTGAACGCGACCTGGATCTGGAACCTTTCCTAACTGAACCCGATCTCGATCTGTGCGATCCTGATCTCGATCTGGAGGCTTTGCGGGAACCGGACCTGGATCTCGAGAGTTTGCGTGAACCTGACCTGGATCTTGATCTGGATGCTTTACGAGATCCCGATCTTGAGCCTTTACGTGAACCCGATCCTGATCTTGAGGCTTTAGGTGAGCCTGATCTTGAACGAGATCTGGAACCTTTGCGTGATCCAGATCTGGATCTCGATCTAGAAGCTTTCCTCGAGCCGGAACGTGATCTTGATCTAGAGGCTTTGCGAGAACCTGATCTGGACCTCGATCGCGATCCTTTCCTTGAACCGGACCTGGATCTCGAACGAGAGCCATTTCTCGAACCAGAATGAGACCTGGATCTGGAGCGTGATTTTGATGCTTTCCTAGAGCCCGATCTAGACCTTGAGCGTGAATTCTTCCTCGAACCAGACCTGGACCGAGAACGTGACCTTCTGCTTGCTGCAGACTGAGAACGTGAACGGGACCCACTCTTCGATCTGGATCTAGATTTTGAACGGGAACCGGATCGGGAACGAGAATCGCCCCTGGATCTAAAAACAGAATATCAGCATACATTTTTTATGAGGTACAAAAAAAATCAATGAAGAAAATGAGACAGAATCCTCAAATAGAATACTGACCTGGGTGAAGCATTGCCATTTCGATTAGGGGATACTGAATGTGATCTTGACCTGGCTGGGGATCCACTCCTGGATCTGTTGCTGGCCACAGGCGATGATGCCATTTTTGAATCACTCACAGGTGATTCTACATTGAAAAAAAACTAATTATAGTAACAAATTTGCAAGTAAAAAGTACACCCACTTACCTGTGGCAACATCCATGGTTTCAATTTATATATTTAGCTTTGCTTAATTATATAAATATACTTATATATACTAAAATGTTCTACTACTACCTGCAACTACAAACATATGACAGATAACCTCATGTTTTGTGTGGATTACGCACAAATAACATCTGTCAGATGTCAAAAAAAAAATTTAATTTTAAAAAAGAAAAAAAAGTTGCTACGTACTTTCAATTCAATATATTTATTGTATTCAATTTATTATCAATTATCGATCAATCACAAAATGATCTCAAATTGATTATTTTACAATCAAATAATAAAAATAGCAGCGAAATAGTGAACAACATTTTTGTATTACTGAGTTGGTTACCATGGTTATTCATTTGTTTGGATTAAATCTTATTAATTTGTATACAAATCTAGTAGGTTATGTTTAGGATCAAATAGGTTTAAGTTTCCAATTCAAATAATTATTAGTTATTATGTTAAAATTTAGGGCTCTCAACACAGAGTCGTCTTCGGACGAAGATGGACCAGTTATTAGAAAGGAGGCGCAGGTATCAATTGAGAATTGAAAATATTTATGAAAGTATGAAAAAAATAAAGAATAAATATATTTATAGGAAGAGATTGCAATTGACTTATACAATGAGGCGCTTCGATTGCAATGCAATAACAATGTGGAGAAATCATTGGAAAACTTGAAAAAGTTATTGGATTATAATATACCACAATTGGAGAGCCAAGGAGGACTTCCAAAGACCATGTCAAATATCAAGTATTCATGTCGAATAAACATTGCCAGTATATATTTGCAACTGGGAGATAAGGCCAATGCATTGGAGAACTTTCTCATTGCTTCAGAACTTGATGATACTGATGTAACACTGTGGTATAAAATTGGGATGCTTGCATTGAAGCAGAACCATTTCAGGCAATCCATGTATGCATTCACAAAAGGGTTGGATTGTAATGATTCACATTGGCCATGCTTGGATCAGCTGATTTCAGTGCTGTTTGGAATTGGGGACACAATTGCCTGCTTGGAATATATCAGTAAAGCACTTAATCTTGATCCTTATTATGTAAAGGGTATTGTTGTTAGGAAACGCATTTATGAAAATAATCCAGCAACCCAGGAGTACTACATGAAGTTCAATCCAAGCAGTTTGGATGAGCCTGTGGTGAATGTTGATATCACAGAGGAAGAGGAAAATGCTTATCTGGAAGAAATAGAAAAGTTGTATGATAGAATTAATGAAGTGGAAAAGTCTTTTGGACCAAAACCATTACCTGTGATACCATTACCAGTGCCATTGGAAGATTACACTTGGGTTGCTTTAGGGAAGACCTTGACTGGTCTTCATAAATACATTACAGACAACAATATGGTATATTTTTAATATAAATTTAAATTGTTATCAATTTTATCAAGTGATGTATGTTTCAGAGTCATCTCAGTAAGATTAACATGAAAAAGTGTATGAGCAATACAGGTGAATCAAAGGAAACTGTAGCTGATGAGGCTAAGACTGATGTTGTTGAGGAATTTGGGGCACAAGAAGTAGCTGAACAGATCATGGAAGTATTAATTGATAATGTCTTGCTGAATAGTGCTGGCAGATCAGAGGAAATGGATGACATTGTAGAGAGGAGAATGTCAACAACAAGTGAGAACGACGCTACTACTCCAATACAGACAGATGAAAATGAAGAAGTAAAATTGACTTTAATTAATAGATCATAAATTTATCGAATCATCACTATTTTTTTTTAGATGGAACAAGATATGGATGAGCAGGAAGATGTGGGTGGTTCATTAAAGTCAGTTAAAAGTCGTATACTAAGCAGGGGTAGCAAACGAAAACGGGATTTAGTATCTGATTTGCAAATATGGGGTTGGCACAGCAAAAGGAAGGCTGGAAAGAAGGGGAAGAATGACAGAGATACTAGTATAGAGAACGCACTAACGCGCATTATTCCTTCTCATCTACTGTAAGTTATTTATAGAAAACATATTATTTGTATATGTACGTTAATTATTTGAAATACAGACCAAACGGTATCAATGGAAATAAGTATAATCCCATGGAAGATTCTATGTCCACAATGGATCTATACAATATGCACTTAAACGAGAACAAACCAGTGGAGTTAATCTCACCAATCGATTCTCCTATAAGTACAGATGCTTAGTATGTAATGATCGCTCAAATATAAATATTTCATTTAACAATATAAATGTTTAGCTCGTATTTCGGTGGAGATGAGGAGAAAGCAGATGTTAAATCGTTCTGGACTCGGAATTGGGAAAACTGCGATGCCATAGATTTAATCGAAGAATTCGTATACTCTTTATCAAATATATGGCAACTGAAATGGCCAGTACAATTGATATCAATTTACATCGACGCTTACAATATGTTCAGGTAACTAAGAAATAATGTTAGATATCATTAGAAAGTTATACAGGTTGATTGTTACAGAGATCACTGTAGCCATCCGAACTTATTTGGGAATGATATATGTTTTGAAAAGTTACGAAAAGATGCCCTGACAACGATTCTGTATGGAGAATTGACGACACTGAATAGATACGAGTTAGTTGCTGCGTTTAATATTAATTTCAAAAAGTTAAAAATTTTATTCGTAGAAATGATCCGGATAATGAGATACATTGCACTTCTGTGAGCCATCTCACACTGCTGAGCGCATGGGACGAGAATTGGGGTTCCGAGTACGTTAATTTTGCTATTCGAGTGCATTGGTTGCGTTGTCACCTCTTTAAGAAGAGGAACGAAAACGATTTGGCCATAACCGCGTTGCAATTGGTTTGTTTTACACAATTGGATAATTCGTTTTTTTTTTAATTGTCAGTTGCATTTTAGGTGCAAGAATTGGTCAACGGAGAGGAAATTAACGTGAAAAGGTTTAAGCTGCACCTGCCCAATTGTTCCAAGTTCACGGTTATCAGTAGTTATATAATAGAGACGATTTTAAGTAATTTGGAGTTGATACATTCGTTGAGTCGCCTGGATGAGCTGTTCAATGGACAGATGTACGAGGAGGTGGCGAATATCTTGAAGACAACATTTACCTCTTCGAGCAACAATGTTACGTGTGGTAAAATTGGACGACCCGCCCAATTGGGGATGTTGATGCACGCTCTTTGGTTCACCAATCTTACGGAATGCTTCTTGTGGACGGAAGAGTGTTTGAACGAAACGTTGGGTCATTATCTGAAACCTACCACGTACGAGGATAAATGGGAAATGGTCCTGGAAAAATGTTTGGCCATCATGCAAGAGGTTATCAAAAACGAAACGGTAGCTGTTGGTAAGCTAAATGGAAAATGTTTAATTGAAGGTATGAGTTTTAAAGACTAAATTAATTTTGTAGTTGATGTACTACCTGACGAGAAGAGAAATAGATTGATTGAATGTCTTTCGCTTTTGTGCGCTAGGCAAGTCAACGCGGAAAACACGAATAAAATGCCCATAGGGAACGTATCCCCTTGGATAATTTTGCATTACATTCTTCTCAGGTATTATTTGATGTGTGTTTTATATTGTGGGTTTTATGCAATTTATTTGCAGAGATGAGCACCGACAACAAGCGAAAAAAGTAGTGCAACACGTGAAAAAGGATAAAATTAAAAAAAGTAAATACGCGTTGGAGGAGGAGGAATTACCGCCATCAATTGCTATTCTATTCTCTGCCCATGAATTCCTCGGTCCAAAAGGGTGGTGTTTGCAGAATCAAGGGGAATTGTTGCATTTTATGCTGGATACGATAATCTATCGTTTGGACGCACCGATCTTCGAATTTCTACGCGAGAAGATCGACATACATTTAGAGCAGGCCTTCTTCTGCCTTTATCAGCATCCTTGTAAGAAGAATAAAATATCTAGACATCTTGCTGACCACAACGTAAACCCATTGCCATTGACCTGGTCCAGAGCGCAACAGCTATACGAGTACTTCTGTCCAGATGATCTTCCTGAATTTGATTCGTACAAGGCAAAATCGATTTCGGCGGATTTGGAACAACTGCTTCAACGCTTCACATCCATCGTTCCAAAGGAATACGACCCGCAGCCTCTGTACGCCAAAATCTACGATTACATATATTCGAAATCTGAAGAGCTGCCGAAACCCGTCGAATTTTCGGCTAAAATTAAGGCTATGTACTATTTGCTTGGCGATTACTACTTCAAGCAGAGCGAGTGCGAACGCAGCTACAAGTATTATCTGCTAGACCTCTGCATCAGTCCAGATCGAATCGACTCGTGGGCTGCACTATCTCTGGGCATTTCCAGTCAGTTGGAACTTAAATTGAATCACTGCGAAAGGTATAAGACTGAAACGGAATTCTTGGAGAAAGCCAATAGCGCAAGGGTGTGCTTCAAAGAGGCGCTCAAATTGAACGATGTTCATATCACGCTTTGGATTGAATTCGGTGCATTTGAATATATGGTGCACTCTTTTTGCTCGCGTATCCTCAAGTACGATTCGGAAAAATTGAGCATGGAGAAGTTCGAGGTGCTCGAATCGGAGAAGGATAGCTATTTGGATGGATCACGGAAAGCGTTTGAGCTAACATTGAATTTGTACAGCGTCGATCAGGCAGAACCGGATGAGCGATGGCTGTACCACTACATGATTGCTAAGATCAGCGAAAAGAAACAGGAACATCCAAGCGTGTACCTGCATCATTACAACGCAGCGGCCGAATTGCTGCATGAAAACAAGTGCGCGTATCCCGAAAAAATCAATTACAGTAGTCCACAGCGTATGTCCGTGGAAGCACTTGAAGTGTACTACAGGATGAACGCTTCGATACTGAAGTACCTGGAACTACACGACGGAAAACTGATAACCATGGAGGTGGGAAAGCTTTTCAAGAAGTGCTTGGAAAATACGATGCTGCAGAAGATTAAGACTTTGGCTGCTCAGACGAAAGAAGCGAACAAGGCGATAAACGAGGAAGCGAACGAAGAACGGAAGATCATGAGCGAGGTCAAGGAGTGCATGGAATCTTTATTGAAACAAGTGGAGACCTCACTGAAGGGTGATGAAGTCGTCGTCATTGATTCAGATGAAGAAAAGAAACCAGGTATTTTATCATTCAATACATATAAGATTCTAAATACTTTATAATATTTCAGATTACCCAAAAATCAGAGTGAGAACAGCACAAGACATCATGGATGAAATGATGAGGGAAACAATGAAGAATTCTCCTGCACCAGACAATGATGTGGAATTGGTGGTCGCTGCGGATGATAATGAGAAGATGGAAGTGGAAGATGTCAAGTCTGAGAAATCGTCGAAGAGTGAAGATGAAAATAACATTAGAGTATGCTAATTGGTTCACGTTTATTAAGGTCTGCAAATTAAGATGATTGTTTTTTTTAAGAAATCGACGACTACTGCGACGGAAGATTCCTCTAGTTCATCGAGTAGCTCGTCGTCAACTTCCAGTTCAGATTCGGAGAGCGAAGATAGCAGTTCTTCGAGTAGTTCATCTTCGGACAATTCCAATGAGAATTTATCCGAGGCTGAAATCCTTAGCTTAGTCGATAAATGCATTCTAGGTAATCTCCTATTTTGGATTATTCTAATAACTTGATAACTGAACCAACTGAATTTAGGTCTCGAACAATGCATCCGAAGGCTACCGCAGAATTATAAGGCTCTATACCGATTGGCACACGTCTACTATTCGTATTCCAAGAAGAAAGATTTAAGCAAATCGAAGCAATTGTTACTTAGCGAGTACAAGTGCAAGAACAGTTGTTTAGTGCCCGGATTATTCTCGGAGAGGAAACACAACAACTTCTTTAATGTAATTTCAAATGCAAATTCATATTTTTTTTTTTACTTTTTCATCTTGTAGGGAATTTGGAGAATACCGTCGAGCGAGGTGGATCGACCTGGATCTCTATCTGCCCATATGAGCCGATGCGTGACTTTGCTTCTGCAAGTGTTGCAAGACACGAACGACCACAAAACGCTACTGGAATTATGTTTGCAATTGAAGAAGCAGCCGGATCTGGACAAGTAATAACGAGCAATGATTTGTCTTCATTACTTCATGTAAATTGATTGATTGCAGGATTTACATAAGACACAGTGAGCGATTGCAATTGTCTGATCAAGCTTTAGGTATGTGCATACAATCCCTGCGCTCGCAAGTTAAAAATATAACAACGGTGTCGCCAATCCTTGCCGACAAGCTGTTAGTGGACATGTTCAAGGCTTTCCAGAAGAGCAAGAATTCATTACCGCAACACGAGAAGACGTTCTCAAGCATCCTGGTTGATGCATACAAGACTCTGATGGGAGATAAGGTTTCAATTTGCTTCAATCACATTTGCGAATTTAAGTAACTTTATTATTAATTTTAGATTTCCGATTCGGCCAATGTTTTGGATATGGCCATCAAGTACTGTCAACAAAGTAAGATCGCTGAAAAAGCGAAGCACCAGCAGCAACCAACGCAGACCACACCTAAAACACCACTATTGGCTGTGCCTGTATGTAATCGAGACATATGATACAAATTTAGAAATTTTTAAAATTGCATTGACTGTTTTAGCCTACGGTGTTGCCTACGCCGACCAACGTTTCTCCGATGGTTACGCCGATGAAGAGACCCAATTTGGGAAGGCCCAGAGGTCGACCACCAGGACCAGGAAAGTCTCCAAGGGGTCGTAGCCCCATGACCACCGGGACAAATCCATTCTCCTGGCAAAACGCTGTTTTCAATTCTTCCGTTGGTTTGGATTACCTGAAACAGTATCAAGATGAATTGATCAAACAGTACAGCCAGACAATCACCAACCAACTGAAATCCCAATTAGGACAATCTATGTTCCATGCGGCAACTCGTATGACCCAACCAACGGCGGCGGCGGCAGCTGCAGCCAACATGTTGAATCCCACCAACTTTGTTCAAACGCTACAACAGATGAGCGGTTTGAATGCGCTTGCCACCAATCAACTTGCGCAAAGTTTGAGCCAGATGAATCCAAGCTTACTGAATAACGTCGCCAATTCTCAATTGAGTGCGGCGACTAGCGCATCCCAATTGCCCACTCAGGAAACTTTCAGGCAGTTACTTGCCATGAATCAATTGCCGAAGGCTCAGAAACAGCCAAAAGTTCCGAAGCACTCGAAATCCAGTAAATCATCGACAACGGCCACTGGTTTTAAATACCCTGCCGCCGAGTTGTTCAAAACGAAAATGAAAGATACATCGAAAATGCAATCATATCATCAACTAATTAAGGTTTGCAAATCGAATCTGAGTGTAATTTCATAAATTCTATTAAATGTCATCATTTCAGGAAGCACCGAAGGCTCATAGCTCCAAACCGCAACTTCCAGCTGATAGCACAAACCTGATCAAAGATAGACCCAATATTTCTATAATACCGGTTGCACAACCGCAAACCATTTCACCTGTCTCTTCGAGTCCAGGAAAAACACTTCAAGAGAAACTTGCGGATAAGCAGAAACAGCAGAAGAGTGCCGCTGCCAAATCTCTAGATTTTGTGCACCAAAAAGAGCAACAGAAAGCATCATACTCGGGGTACAAACCGAACGTTCTATCCCAAATACCCAAATCTTTGGACGTTATACCGAACTTTCTCATGGAATCCGGCATATCGATTAGTCAAGTAGATATTAAGATTATTCGTATCTTAAATTGGTTTATTATAATTTTCATGTTTTAGGTGCAGCAGCAAAAAACGAAAGCTGTGGAAATATCGCCGGTGAGGAAAGACGCCGGCAGCTCAAAAGCGCCCAACAATCTTCCTATATCTTTATCCGTTATTAAGAAGCAACAGGAGAAACAAAATAAGCCATCACTGCCGCCCGGCGATGACGATGATGTAATTATTATTGAATAATGACAACATTTATTATAACAATTAATGTTAATGTTTTGTCTTTTAATATTTTTTCTATTGCTGAAATAAAATTGTTTTGATTTATTTTATTGTTTATTCGTGTTTTAATTTGTTGCATTTCTTCCAATCAAAAAGAGTAACTTGCAACAAATGCAATAAAACAAGATTTCAAATTTGAAAATAAAAATCCAAAGGATTGGAATACATGTTTCGAAGTTTGCCTAATCGCGAAACGTCAATGTAGATGATTCTGTGACAATTGTATACAATCATCGTTCAAAAAGTTCAGTAAGATGTGCGAATTAATAAAATTTAACAAGGAGACAAGCTTAAAGGATTACACTTTATACATACCGAACGTGTCCATAGGAAATGTGCCGCAATTAACTGTGGACTTGTTGATTTCAACATATAACCTTAAAAAGATTGCTACCGTTTGGCATCCAGCAATAATACCGACAGTGGGTAGCGATCCTTTCGATTTGAAGAGCAAGGATGTTTGCACAGCATGCGAACTGTACGCGAACGAAGATCTAAAGGTGGCCGTGGTTCAGTTAAGATCTGGTTTGGAACGTGGATTGAAGGAGGAATTTCTTAAGAAGCTTATTGCAAACATTAAGGAATTTGAACTGAAGAGGATTGTCTTGCTGACCAGTATATTTGCATTTGAAATGCACAATGTGAACTCCAGTAAATTCATGTACATATCCAATGAGAATGCAGAAATATTCAAAGATTGTGATGCAACTGAAGAAACAAATCTTGATTTAGTCAGTGAAGGATTTGTTTGTCCACTTTTTACAGAGCTAAAAGATAGTGTACCATGTACAATTTTAACTAGGTATTGTTACGAAGGTGATAACAGGTTGGATGCTGTCCACACCATAAACCTGTTGGGTGATATTTTTAAGGAGTTCACTGCTAAAGAAGATTTTAAGTTTCCCATATCATGGGAATACCTGTTTGGAAACCCTGTTCCAATTGAAATATATTAAACTCTATATTTGTATTCATCTTTTATATACAAAAAAATAAAATTATTTAAAAAAAATATATCTATGTAAATTTAAAAAAAATAGTATCATTGTTCTATGCTTTCGATGTTGTCCAAGGAGGTCTGTTGCTGCGGCGAAATATTGTTAACCGGAATGTTTTCCTTATCCTCGTCGCTTTCCTCTTGGATCGAACCGATTTGGTTCATCAGTGAAGTAATGTTCGCTATGAATTTGATGACATTCCTCACAACCAACTTGTCTAGAACTTCCTAGAAAACAAGATCATATCCAAAAGTTAAGAATAGTTTGAAATTTTAACATATTAAAGTACTTACATTTCGAACGTCATCGCATATCGTTAATAATTCCCGCATCAAAGTGCTATCTATTTCGTCCAACGGAAACATCAGGAGCATCTTAGAGTACGTTAAATTGTTCACAGATTTCGGCCTTTTAAGCATATCGCTGCATATTCTTATCATCAAATTGGAGTTCATGTGGTACCTCTGAAATTACAATTGTTTATAGTAAAAATTGGCGATAATGGATATTAATTAAATTCTACCTGAGGATGCGTTTGGCATAATTGTATCAGGAAATTGGCAATGTTTAAGGCGTTCACTCCGGCAAGTGGACTGGTCTTTGGCGCTTTGATAATGGCTTTTACCGTCGGTAAAACAGCGTTTTCAAGTTCGTCCGCCGAATCTCGAATCCTGGGCAACTTTTCCAAAGTCAATCCTATCCTCTGGATCATCTTCTGCAGCTGTTCGTCATCTGTAAATCCATCGTAATGTTATTATTTGAATCCAGAAGATAACATTAACCTCTTTTACTGGAATGCGGAGTGCACCATTTCAGGATGAGCCGTGATATCACTGCGTGCGATTGGATGCGACTGGCCAACAACAGATTACATAAACCATGACTTGCGTGCTCTTGTACATCGGTATTCTAAAACCAAGAATAGCAATAATGATTTAATTGATCGAATCCAATCGTCATTAGATATCTTTACCTCGTCCTGCAATAAATCGACCAAACCTTGAATGATTGTAGTCAAACTGGAGCCGCCTTTGAAGATAGTTTCATGCTGCTCGTCGAAGCTGTTTTCAGGGTCCGTTGGTTTCGCAATCAAATCAGTACCATACAAAACTATCATATCAACGACAGCGCTTATTGCCAGCAATAATCTGTCTGTATTGCAGACTGTTCCCGCACTGTAACTATCAATCTACAAAACAAAAACATTTGCAATACATGGAACTGAGAAATTATCTGGTCAAGTAACTTACCGGAACGCAAAATAAATGAATTCCAATTTCAGCCGTAGACTGATCCATGATGCAGCATAGTCCATAGCACTTCATAGCCTTATACCCGACGGTCTCATCTTTATGACTCAATAACACCTGTATAGTGTTATCTTTGAGAGTCATCAACATCGAATTCAACGTGGTGATCCTCAACGAAGATAGCAGACCGTTGCAAATATCCAGGCACTTCCTGAGAGTGCCTAAGTCCGTCTTCTTCTCATACTCTTGCAAAACCTCCCCGGACTCCGCTACTTCACAATTAATAATAACATTTTCTACCTCTGTTATCCTGTCCTTAAGTCCTTCAGCCTTCAAAAAATTCTGTTCCTTTATAGCCACATCTAGATCCTCCTTCAAGCAGCTCAATTCAATTTTCAGCTTGGCCAACTGCATTAAATATAAAATTCATGTCTGTTACAAATTATTATCACTTAGATAATATGATTAAGTTACTTCTAATTTATTGGTATTATTCTCCTCCGGTTCAGGCACTTCGGGCACCTCGTAAGATATTTCCGAGATCAACAAGCAGACAAATTTGATTTGCTCGTTGACATCGGGTATGGTGTAGTCAAGATTTTTCATGATAGCCTCGACAACTTCTTCCTCCAATACAGCGTTCTGAAGCACCTCTCCCACCAAAGCATTCAACGTTTCCTGAAGAAATTTATCCCCGAAATCATATTTCATGGTTATTTGGAACAACTGTTGTAATATAAACTGATTATGAAAATACTCGACGCTTTCAGGGTCCAAATCATTCTTATCTTTGTAATAACTGAAACAACAAAATCGTTCAGTAAACTTCGCCAAAGCAAATACCAAGAGCAAAGTAATTACTTTTGGATGTATTTGCATAGATGCACCAATTCCGGAAAATACTCGTCTTCGTCGACATCGCATTTTCGGAGCATTTCCAGGTAGCAACGCCAGTATAAAACAGATTCGAATTTCAAATCTTCCAACGGTAAAAGTCGGTTTTCATTCAAATTTAAGGCTTGTTTCAATTCCAAATGCGGTTTCGATCTAAAATTAAAGCAAGTTTATATAAAAGCAATGCACAGAGATTATTTAAGATGTTACGCGAAGAATGCGCTGAGGACGTGTTCCACAACTACCGAAGTTTCTTTGCAGTCTTTAAAGTCCGAATCTAAACACAGCGAATTAATAAACATCAAATAGTCTTCTTCGTAACATTCGAACCACGACGTCACAAAATGTTCATGCATGTACATTCTGATTGATTCATTCTCATCGGTGAATCCGTATTTGATTAACTTTTGCCTTTGGATCACCTGCAAATACATTAATTAATATTTTTCCACAAAATTATCAAACTATAATATCTAAATTACTTTAAAAGCTTTCGGTATCAGCGAGCAGCGGGTGTAAGCTGCTAAGCGAACCTTCACGTTAACATCTCTAGTTTTCATGATTATATTCTCCAAAATATCCTGTCGTAATCCCACTTTTTCCAAACACAGTTTCCTCACCTGAAATAATCAAATCATTTAAACTATCAACAAAATAAACGTTGTTACAACCTTTGCACTTGGATCACCCATCATTTGTGTTGACAATTCATTGACTACTGGACAATCAGGATCAGAGGGGTCCTGTAATGAAAATATTGCACAGACTGCCTGCAATCTGACACTCTCCCTTTCGTCTTTCAATCTCTCCAACATTGCATCCTGTATAGTATCAAATATTTCTACTGATAATTCAAAACCTTTCAGTTGGCTTAAAATTGTCTGAATCAGTTGACATGCTCTGTAACGAATCACATGGTTAGCATTTGGTTGCGCCTGAAATTACAAAAGGAAATCATTTTTATTTTACTCAACCAGTACCATAACTCAAGATCATCACCATCAAAAGTAACTGAATTATAGCACTCAGGAAAGGAGACTCCATTATGGTAGACTCTAGGTCTTGGCTCATCTTTCGTTCGACTCCTTCACAGAACAAAGCCACGAATTGCAGTATTCTTTCAACTTCTGGATTGGAATTCTTGTATTCTGCCTGCATTATAATCTTGAGGATATTCGAAAACGCCTCCACGAATTCATTGAGTTTGCTCTGCAAATCTAACATTAAACATACATCTTCTGGGTTTTGGTGAACAACTCACAGTGTTAAAAAGTTTGTTGAGCTGATGAAGACAAACTGGATGATGCGCACTGCTCACTTGTGCCTTATTGGCTATCTCGCACATTTTGTTGAATAATTCACTCATAATAAAAACATTTAATAATATAGTAAATAATTAAAGCATTGACTCGAATTCAAAAAAAAAAGAATAACCGTTAAATAAAAAAGCCAAGCCGCATTGTTACCAAGGTTGCATAACGTAAATAAACAAGAAAGCGATATTCAATCCTCCATACACAACAGTAAGAAGGTTGCATCATCAGAGGTTAAAAAAGATGTAAAGATAAGATAGTTGCCTAACTAAATTAATTAGTTTTAGATGTTGGTAATTGTGGTTCTTGAGCAGCACAAGAATTATTAATTTGTTTACTAGTTTGTAGGTAACAGTCAGGCAACAATTTAGTTTGTTGTATTTGGTTTTGTAGCTTTAGTAACAAGTATAATTGTTTGCTTCAGTAATAATGGAATCCGATGATTCTAATGCAACAAGTGCAGGTGCTTCTACGGCCAGTGGAGTTAGCACCGATGAATTGAGAATAACAAGAAGCAGTTCGATGTGCTTGGCGAAGAAATCAACGGGGGCAGGTCTGCAGGAATCTTTTGTGTCTGGAAAACCGGCCATTACCAGGAGGCAAATTGCAATTGCTAACAAGGAGAAGATCAAGTTTCTGGGAAACTTTAATCCGGAAACAAGCGAGAGGGAGAAGAGGAAGCTAATGAAAAAAATCCAGACTCGTAAAGGTAACGGTGCTTTGTACAACAACAAGGGGATTCACAACGCAACCGGAAGAGATCTCTGCGATTGCTTGGAGCCCGAATGTCCGGGTTGCTTCTATCCGTGCAAGAAATGCGGTTCGACCAAATGCGGTGTCGACTGCAGATGTATGCGCAAATTTAAATACGATTCAATCGAGTATCACGGTTACAGCTTCACAAAGAAAAATCCTCTGAATGAAGAGCCCTAAACTTTTTCCTTAAGTTACCCAACCTGTTTCTTGTTCTGCTAGGTTAGTTTTTGTTATTGTATGTGAATGGTGTATAGACTTGACAAATATGAAGAGGAAACTTGATTCACAAAAAGAGGATGCTAAGAAGAGTAAATCCAGTGGCCATTGGGCGAATGGTCTACTTACAGCCATGGAGGATCCAGATAATATAGTGAAACAAGATGATAAAATAGTGGTCATCAAAGATAAGTATCCGAAAGCAGAGTTTCATTACCTCGTCATTCCCAAAGAGGAGATCAGCACTTTAAAATCAGTTGATGCAGATCACTTGGTCCTTCTCAGGTACATGCACAAGGTTGGAGAGGAACTAGCTGAACAGCATAAGCACAGAACCTTTAAGTTTGGCTATCATGCAGAGGCAAGCATGTTCAGATTACATTTGCATGTTATCAGTGATGACATGAATTCACCTTGCCTGAAGACCAAGAAACATTGGAACAGCTACACTTCTGGGTTTTTCTTGGATTCAGAAGGTATGTGCATCAACAAAATGTTGAGGAATAACAATTTTATAATTATTGATTATTTTAGAGGTCTGCAATAGTTTGGAGGAGGATGGGGTTGTCAAAAAGTTGTCTGCAGACGAGTGCAAGGCTTTCTTGAATGAACCACTGAAATGCCACAAATGTGACCACATTCCAAAGCACATGCCCAGTTTAAAGCAACATCTACTTAAGCATCTTGAGGATACTGATAAGTAGGAAATACATTAACAACAGAAAGAAAACACATTTATTAATCTTATTTAGTAATGTTCACAACTTTTATAGAACAAAACAAAGCCAGTAATTTATTTAGAAATGTATTTATTCAGAAAAAATAAGTATTTTAACTGTTTTTTTTGTGTGTTTCTCTTGCTTTTATTGTATTGAAACAACATGTGGTAAAAATAAAATTGTATTATAATTACAATATAGAAAAAAAAAACAAATTCTACCTATGTAACATCTAAATAGAGTAAAAACAAACAAGAAAATAGAATAGATTTGAATGGATCTTGTTATATAAATAAACAAAATTATAAAGGAAAAAAAAACAAACAAAAATTATTTATAGTAATGTTAATAATTTTCTTCTTTCGGTGCATTTTCTATAATTGTTATTAGATATGTAATATAATTAAGTATTTGTTTATCTCATAAATACACTAGATATGCGTAGCTTTCCTTTTTTTTCTCTCTTTTTACAATTGAATGATTTGAGAACAAAACAAAATAGTTATTAGAATTAAAAAAATCTTGTGACTAGTTTCTAGTCAGTTTACATAATATGTATGAATTATATATACACATGCACTTGTTTCCTTTCCGCCGTTCATGTTCGCTCGCCTCTTCCTATGTACAGACAAATTGTTGATTTTTTTTCTTCAGCTTGTTAATTAACTCGTTCAAGATCAGTGTACATATTTGGTAACTTCATATACTGAATTTTTGTATACGATTAATATAATATAAATACATTTAATATATATAAAAGTTTAAATAATCACAACACTGGGTATAATAATAATAATAATGTACTAATAAGAGAAATAAAATGGCAAAAAATTAAAAATGCAATGGAAATCAATTTATTTTTTTTTGTTCTTGTTTCGTTTCCTCGAAAAAGTGAAAAACAGTAACGTATTATTGTTTCGGTGCTAGAATCATTTAAATTGAATAATACCCTTTCCTTCTTTTGTCGTAGCTGCAGTAAACAAATTAGAATAGTCACATGTTTTTCTTGCAATTTGTATTTTTTTTTGTATACAACAAAAATTGTTCTCTCTTTCTCAAACTCCTCTCCCACTCATCGTCTTCGAAATGCACCACGCGTTTCATTAAAATCGTTCTTAAAGTTTAAATAATAAAAATCACAATTAATAATTTACTAAAAAAAAATATACAAACTTCATAACAACAAATATACATAAAATAAAGAAATATATATATTAATCAATTACATTTTCATACATATATATTATATATTACTTTTGATTAGCTCGGAATCAAATAAAAAGTATTAGAAAAAGGAAACAAACAAACAAAAAAAAAATAAGTCTAAGAAGTAAGAAGGACCGTCGTCGTCTTCTCCTAAGGCCGTTCAAATTTGGAAATTGGTCTCGAAGGTCTTGGAAATAATATAGCGTTCGTTTGACAAGGAATCACTGAGTGTAAAACAAAAAATAAAAACTATAAGAGTAAACAAGATGAGATCTTTTCAGATTCATTCAAATTATGGAATGTGTGGATTTGTGTGTGTTTTGTGTGTAGTATGTTCGTGCGTGCATATGCATCGATCGTCTGGATTGATTCTGCTTCTCTCGAGAGGGGAAATAAAACATATGTAAAATCGCACTCTGTCTCTGTGGCATAACGTTTGTATGTTTAGGTAGGTCACTCGGTTTGTTTCAGTGTTTCTTTCTGTGGGCACTTCACTTGCTCGTTTTTGGTAGGTGCCTCTTCATGTGCAATGCCAGATGATCGGATCTGGCAAAGGACCTTTCGCAGACGGCACATTTGAACGGCTTGGCCCCTGTATGCTTACGATAGTGACGGGTCAGCTCGTCGGACCTCGCAAATCTCCACTCGCAGTCGGGCCATTGGCACTGGTATGGCTTCTCACCTTTAACATATCAAAAATACCTAATTAGATATACCTAAATCATTCCATCTTCACAACTATGTGCAAAGCGCAAGTGGTATATGACTACCATCATCGAGATTGCACCATATTCGAGTAACGTATAATAATGTCTCTTAACTAAGAATATATTTGCAGATATTGAATTTCCAAACAATTAATTTCTTCATAAAATTAGCTTAGAAATATGCATTACATACCTGTATGTATTCGTTGATGAGCTTTCAGATGAGAACTTTTTGTGTAGACCTTGGTGCAACCTGCAACGAAAAATTAGTAATATTACATCTTCGGAAAGAATATTTGTGACGGTATAATATTTATAAATTTTGTAAAAGTTTTTTGCTAAATTGTATAAAATAATAGTTCTTGTGTGATACGCGGGGTGTTTTGTAATGCATTGAAAAGTATGGGGAAGTTCAAATTAACCTCTGTCTTATTCTGCATTCCTGATTCACATGCCCTTTTAGTAGGACAAATTTGGATAAGAAAGATTTCTGTTTAGAGGACGAAAAAGTCAAATGAATTTTTTATTGTTGCTGTTGCGAATATCTTTCCGATTATAAAACTTATAATTTTATAAACATTATTTTGTTTTTAATTTATTGACATTTATTAATTAAATATGATAATGAAACAATTGTTTGGTAAAAAAAACTAATTGTATTGTTTATGTTGTCAGTTAATTGTTAGTAAAAATGTTGTTATGTGTCGGTTATTGATTTATAAATATTTGTAAAATCATAGTTTGTAAGTTCTAATTTGGTAAGTTCTTAAACATGGTGAGTATATTTAAAATAAGAATTTTACCCATGAAGTCGCAATGGTGTATCCGACGCTTTTCTAGTTCGGGGTTGTTCCTCCTGTTGTATTTAACGGAGTGCGTGATTCTGGGGGCGGGCGTTTGCGGACATCCGGGGGCGGGATACGGCGGGGGCGGCGTGCGACGGGGTAGCGTCCCGCCAGGCGACCCCGGTTCCGAGCTGGGTGGAGTCAGGGGCGAAACGTACATAAGACGTGACATTGGTGGATAGAGCGCGTTTCCGGGCGCCGGTCCCACCGGGGGATTCCCATACTTGTACTGTGGCTGTGGTTGATGCTGCTGTTGTTGCTGCTGCTGATGCGCATTGCTGTTGGGTTGATGCAGGATGTGTTGCTGCTGCTGGTAATGAGGTTGAGGTTGTTGCGTTTGCTGAGGGCTCATTGGTTGTTGTTGTTGTTGGTTGTAGGGAGAAGACGCCGGCGTCCCCATGAGATGGAGAGTGGGGCCGGGCTGCTGCAGGATCTGAAACGAGAAGTTCTACCCGTTCATTTTCGCACCCTCCTATCGAACGAATCGCGTGGAGAATTGCGAGGGGCGTTTCGCATCCTCATTTTCTGCAAAACGCCCCCCTCGTATTGGACGTGGTTGGCTTACCTTCTCCGTTTTGATCTCGAGGGGCGAGAGCAACGGTGTCGGGGCGCAGGCGGCAGCGGTCAGATCGTCGACGGCTTCCAGCTTCACTTGGCCGGCACCGACTGCCAACATGTTTGCGTTTTCAGGGTCGATGTTTTGTATGCTGCTGGCGATGTCTTCCCACAGGGGCGGCCGCAGGAAGACATCGTCGTCGGTGCCAGGCAGCGTCCTCATCGACACGTAACTCATGGTGGGTTGGTGACGAGGCGGCTCGAAGAAATCATCGATCTGCGATGCCGAATCCCGCCTCGGCTTATCCAGCTCCTCTTCGAACCTCCTCTCCCATTCCTGCTTGCATAGGAAGGTATCCAGATCGCTTGTCTGGAACAACAATTACAAGAAAGAAACGAAAATTAATGTTTGATTGTCTTAAACATTATTATAAAATTGTTTTATGTTTGACAAGAATCACTATAATTAATTTCATAAATTTATGTTATGTTTAATGAATATTGAGCAATTATTGTTAATGGTTATTAGATGTAAGATAATGTATGTTTCTTATAAGTATTTGTTGTATATTAGTTGCTTTATTTACTTAGTAAATTTGTATGTTATTCTTTTGAATAATATATAATATTTACTCAGAGAATCTCAATTTATTTTTAATTAATTAAATCTGGAAGTGAGCCAGCAATGTTTACAACATTGTACTCATTCGGTTCTCTTTTCATATCATCTGTTTTATCTTTTCGATTGAAATGAAGAGAATGAAAAGAGTTTGATTATTGTTTCGCGATTTTTCATAGTCACTGCTTTAATTTATTTCTAGTATTGTCAGCGGAGATGCGATCCGCCGCATCGTCGTTGCTGTCGGTGTTGAAGGAACCCCAGACACCGTCATCATTCATCGATGACAGGTGAGAACATGCGTGCGGCTGGGGCGGCGTTCCAAGTGGGGCGAAGAGGTGAAACCCCCTCAACCCCATAATATCACCGCCCCCGCCGTGTTCTAATTACCATACAATGCCGCAGGAGGTGCTGCTACCCCCTACCGGCTCGACGTTTTTATTCGAATGCATGTCATCCTCGACGATGAACATGATTCTCGCCTCTACACGTTATTATTTTATGACTTGTAAATATACCGAAAATTGATTTATAATCGAATCTCATCTATTTTTCTTCTTCTTTGTCTTCTTCCCTTTTCGAACGCAGACCAGACCATTGTCCACATCAACATTACCCTTTTCTTCCACCTCCCCACGTTTTATCAATTACAAATTTGAATTTCATCTATTCATTTCATCACGAATACATAAAACATGCACAAACAATGCTTAAAGAAATGTTAACAAAACATTATCTTACATGTCTTTAACTTTACCTTTTGTAAACAATAATAATTTCTTCAAGAAATTCCAAAAGTGATTGCATCGGCCGGGAATCGAACCCGGGCCGCCCGCGTGGCAGGCGAGCATTCTACCACTGAACCACCGATGCTTATATAAATAATTTCAAGTTTTTAAGTTTCCACAGCAAAAACTTGAATTTCTAATTATTACGGAGCATTCTATATAAAATATGTAATCAGGAAACCGATTGGTTGTTATGAATGACATTTGTTAATTGTTACATCTGAAATTATGAGTAACCATGGATTTTAACTTTACTTAGAGTATCTAAACATTTAGTGCTATAATTTCAAACTTAGATTCACATGAGCATAGCCGTGCAGCAGTTCTTTGGATATGTAATTATCGAAGAGCATTTCAGTAAAATATAAACGAGATCGCTCAGGTTCAAGCCAGGCGCATACGGAGAATGAATACGATGCTCTGGTTCAGCGAATGAGGAGGAGAAAGAAGAAGAATAAGTGGTTGTTGTTGGAGACGACGATGAAGAGGAAGATGTAGAAGACAGAGGAGGAGAGGTTCCATGAATGGTGGTTATGAATGAAACGTGTTCAGTGGAAGATAACTGGAGATGTGCAGGAAATAAACTGGCTGGAATCTCGTCGGGCCGGGCGGCGGCGGCCGCTCAGACGGTCAATAATACAACTGTACTCCGGCTCTCCTTCTTCTTCTTCATCATCATCATCTCCTCTTCTGTTTACAGGAAATAGCTTCGATTTAAATTGCGGCCATAAGTGCCTGCGATAAATGGTAGTGCGTACAATGTAATTCGCTGTAAAATTTTAATACCGCGCTCTATTAGGACTTATTACCATAGCATCGGATATACCAGGAAATCCTGGAGCGCTTTTTTTCCATTATTCCTCTCCTCACTTTGTTTTTCATCCTTTCCCGTCCTTTTATCTAGATGCCGAAAGTGTATCGAACAGATACAGATCATCTCGCTTATCTGCCTGAAGATCCGCGCGCTCCAGATCAGATATACTACAACCACCGTGGATGATGGATGAATGGACGGATGGATGGATAGGTATATACGTATATATCCCACCTAGGCCAGCCAAGCCGCTGCAGCAACGGCGAGCGGCGCGCTCTTAATCTATGTAAGACATCTGAGTTATAAAGCCTCACATGGAAAATGAAAATGGAACTAATTCAAATTATTTATTGCCCATTAACGTCAGCCTTTATTTACTGCCGGCCAACTCGCAAAGTTCACATCAGTGGCTCAGACCCATTATACATGCCCGATGTATACCTACAACACAACCACAGACACAGACCACACATTCATCTTTATATGCTTTTCTTTTTACTCCTTCTCGTCCGTTTCTCCAGTCGTTTATTCGCCAATAATGGAATTGGAAAACGGACAACAGTATACACATAAACACACAAAAAGTCCGCAACGATCGGATAACCATCGAAAAATAACGAAACCAACGGCAGACAGAAAAAAAAATCATCACATAATCGATAATTCACGTCATTTCTACAAATTCTACCATCAAATGGAATCATTTACATTAATATTTTTATCATTGAAATATTCTGTTTGTTCTAAACTGCATAAACTACATGAAAAATGTATGATACAAGTTTTCAGAAATATTTTAGAAAATAATAGTAATTGGTCGTCAGATGAAGAACGGAGCGTTCCATGTCGATTTCACCTAACCCGAAAGGTCTCAACAATAACAATAAGAAATGCCATCCAAAGTTCAATCAAATCCGATCTTTATCTATTTGAAACTTTATACGTTATGTTAAGCATATTGGCCAAACGCGAAAGAGATAAATATTGAAAAAAAGAAAAATATTTATCTCATAATTGTCGTGGAGCTGCAAGCTATTTTCTCTCGTGAGTTTATTGGCATTCATATGTTTAATGTTCTTCGGCTCGTTGTTAACCCTCAAGCGTAGAAAGCAATTCCAAAATGAAGATAATTGGTTGCAAGAGTATAAATAAACATATTAGTAATAAAATATGTTTGACGAAGACAAATATTTTCGGTTTTTTTTTTAAATTCTCGGATTGATTTTTAGAGACAAATTTAAAGCCATAATAGGCACTATAAGATGGATAACTTCACTTAAATTTAATTGGTCATCATTATCAATTTGCTTAATGTGCGGACCGGACCACAATCAATTTACCGAAAAAAAAAAGTAGGAACGGTTTAAAACGTAATCCATTAAGTTTTCGATAGAATAAAGAAGTAATTATAGTTGAAATGAGTTTAATAATGAAAGTTAATATTAGAAATGCTGCAGAGTGAGATTAATTAATCCTTCTGTACTAAATGTTAACTTCAATTTATTGTAGCTAGTAGGTGTACGATGGATTTTAAATTACTTATAAAAAGTAGTAGATAAAAACGATTATTGTTAGTTTAGAAACAGATGTCAAATGGTAATTGACATTGACAATTGAAAAACTATAATTTTAGTGATTTTTTTATTGTTTTAGAATGGTTGATGAATCATACATTAGAAAATACAAGCCACAGACAATAAACTTTGAGTAAGTAATGTTATTGTAATGATTATGTTTTAATTCTTTACATCAATTTCACTTGGAGAAAAATTTGCTTTTTATTAAAAAATCAATTTTCAATGACTTTTATCGATGATCATGTTTTAAAATAGATTCACGATTTCGTCTTAGAAAACTAAAAACAAAGCTTAGAAGAAATATAAATAATGTAACTGAAACCGCAGAAAATAATCTCCGAGTAAGAAAGTAATTGTAACGTTTATAGTTTGCTATTTTTTTTTTGCGTAATCAGCAAAGTGGAAATGCGAGAACAACAACGGGTGACATTAAATTGTACGATTCGAATATTTCGTTTCGTTTATTGTTCGTTTGCGGTCTGAGTTTATTTGTTTGCTCGTGTCGAACAATTAGTATTAACACCGTGAATGTTGTTTATGACCTCGCGACAGAATATTTGGTCGGTCTGTCTCACCCGAAGAGAAGTGAATGTCTCTCCCATAACGCGACGCACTGACGAAGAGACAGAACAGCGTCCATATAATCTGAATCTATTTAGCATTAAGCTGAAAAAAAAAGAGCGAACAGAAGTGGTCGCATTTTTATTCACTTCTTTATTTACATTTTTACGTACATGCGGGAAGAAAGCCTTGACATTCAGTTTTACTGCCGCTCGTATCGAATACCAAAATTAATAACAGTCACATTGCAATTGCACGGCGTTCCATAATTCTCGTTTTTCTTACTCTTTCTCTTTCTCTCTCTGCTTCTTTTCTTTGACATTTTTATTCGTTTTCCCAGGGCCTCGTGTTTCTACCATTTTTGGCTCGAGTTTCATTTTGCAATTCATTTGCGGATCTTCCATTTCCAGAGCGCAACTTCTCGGAATTAGTCACATATCGATATTATCATGAAATAGCATTAATACTGTTAATAGCTGTGGTAGTCATGGAAACTATACTCATCTCACGGAGACAAATGATGGACAAGTAAAACGGGACAAACATTTGTGAAACAAGCTATGGTAGTCATGGAGATTTGAATTGGCGAGTGAAGCTAATATCTGATGGCACGTAGAAATACGAACGACTAATACAAATGAGTTCTTTCCTCGTCTAGGCGAAGGAGACACAAAAAAATATGAAGTAGAGAGACAATGGCGTTGTCCATTAAAGTGTCAAAAGAAAAAAATAAAACGAGGATGGAACAGGCAAAAAAAAGGATCACAGGGGGTCTTCAGTAGTTGACAGAGACGAATGCAAAATGGACGGGCTGAACAAAAGGATCGCCGTTCGTGTGTAATTAATAAAACGTGTGGGCAAGCGTCTCGCGACTCCCACACTTCTTTTTGTTTTTTTCCCCTCATTCTTCATCTTCTTCTTCTTTTCCATCATTGGTGATAGATGAGAGGAAGAAGGAGATGGATAAGCGTGTATTCTCTTGTTGTCCTGGTCATCGTGGTTGTCTTTTCGGTCGAATGCCAGGAAGTCGTCGGGCTCGTGCACAATTACACGACATTAATCTGTCTCTAATTAATTGTATGCAACCATATCCGGACATTTCGTTTCGCTCCGAGCATTCCGAGGCACATTCGAAAAACGAAACTCCGAAGAGCTAAATGAAGAAGGAGATGATCATGATGAAGAAGGAGAAACTTCGTCGGCGCAGGATTCCTTTGGTGATGAGAAACCAGCCATCGGTATGTCCATTACCGCCCATGATATAATCCTTCAGGATCTTCATTATTCGTTTAACAATCCTTTTTTTCATATTATTTTTGTTGCCTCATTCGCGCAGGTCATATATCCTTTTTAAGACATCCAATCCTCGAGAAACCGTTTTCTCTTTCTTCGCGCATATAATAATAGTAATTGTTATTATAATACAACTAAATATAGTTACATCAATTAAGTTGATATACATGGACAATTTAAATAAGTAACAATTTTACCAACAAGAATATTAAACTATGAAAATCTATTTGTTACAAAGTAACGTAGGTTGAAGAAATTCATATTCTGTCCTCTGATGTTTGTTATGGAAATTGTCTCGGTAACATATGATTGCTATAAATCTTGCAACTGGAGTTATTTGTTGCATAATTATAAGTGATTGGAAATTAGCGAAATGTAGTTATTCATAATACAGTTTAAACGAATTCAATTTATCGTTTGACATTTAACGGTTAGAGTAAACAAGACATTAAGTTACCATGATCGCCTTTTGACATATAAAACTAGACCTGCATTTGTTTAGTTTTTCTTTTGTTTCGATAGGTTGTGCTCGTAATATTTTTGTTCTTCTTTTTGTCAATTGAAAAACGTTGATTGTTGTTAGATATGCATGATTTTTTTTTGTCCACTGATATTTGTAATTAATAAATAATTTTGTACGTGATATTTTGTAAAGTATCTGGAAAAGTGATCTAGTTAATAAGTGCTCATTCGAAGGGTATTACTTCTTTTAATGAATTCCAAAATCATTAGTTATGTGGCGTGTCCTGTCTGCCTGCCTGTCTCTGTCCACCCATTGTGCTCTTCCCTATGAGGTTCTTCGTCTCGTGCTTTATGTTTTTGTTTTGTTCCGAATTAATTAATTAATTAAGAACGGAGCGTGAGACGCGGGGTTGGGGGGTTCAAAGGTTTTCCGTTTCGTGTTTGCTCCAACATTGCAATAATTCAATTTCCTGTTGTCGCCGACGTCGGCTTCTAGGATTACAGAATTAATAATGAAACGATTCCTCCCACCCTCTGAGGGGGTCAGGGGATGGTTTTGCGTTTGTTTTGTTGCAGGATGAAGAAGAAGAAGAAGTCCGATGACAATGCGTAATTACAATGGTCGTTTTGTTTGCATTTGGCGAACATAATCATTAAAGTATATCGCTTGCAGGAAAATGGAAAAGCTCGTGTAAAAGGAAGGAATCCACACTAATACGAGGCTCCCAGATATGGTAATATTATATCTACAAGTCGGGAATTTCAATCTGTCTTAGTGCCATCTATTCACTTTCTTTGAATAATACATGCCTCGTATCCATCAAACACACACGCACAACAGCACATTCTATGCAATGCTCGAACTTCAAACTTCATAAGGTTCGTTCGATACTTCTTCTTCTACTTCTCGTTCCTCCACTTCTTCGTCTTCTTCTTTGCCCCATCCACACGGCCAATAACAAACAACGCGCAATATATTTATACCGTGTGATGTCATTGAACGATCGCGAATTTGTTATTCACCTGCGGACGCAGTTTATCTTTCGTTTTCTTCTTTTCCGTCAAAAAGAGAAGAAAAATAAAAATGCTCTTCGACTTTATTTTATTCCTCATTTATTTATTTACTTTTCTTCTCTCTCTCTATCTCTCTCTCTCTCTCTCCATCACGCACTCACTCATCTCTTTGGCGACGTTGTCTTCTCCCTCCTCAACATTCCACCACGTCTTAATTCAGTATTCAGCAATAATCATAAATAAATTATGCGAATATTATTCCCTCTACATAACATAATACTACATTGTGGATTTCCATTTACATATTTCTTCGGGCTTTTATGTGTCCCTCTACGCACCACAAGCGTACATTTATACATACACTATATACGCGTTCTCCATAATTTATGGGCCTCCTCCACTTTCGACACATACACATTATTTTTCTTCATCATCCTTCGCACCTACTTCATCTCTCCATCTCCCTCTCATTCCTTCAATTCGCCACCTATGCTTCTGCCGCTCGGTTCATTAATCCACCCTCCGATCAGATGTCTCAACTTAGGCATAGCAACTGTTACCATGCGACCATTGAATCATTCGCTTTCATCAAGAAAACGTTGACCAATCGGAAAATCCTTATATTAAACGTGATTCATTTACTGCAAATGAACGCGGAACATCTGCCTTATTTCCTGTACGAAACATCTGCAATATTCAACTAATTCATTTTTACTCAAAACCCTTTAATTCCAATACCAGAACAAAGAAAAAACTAATTTTATTACAAGAAAACTAATGCATTATTCGGAACAAATGTAGAAAATTCGAATGGGTTCAAGCACCGCTTTAAATGAACCACGAACGCATAACTAATAGCTTTATTGTACGTTTGATTATTCTCAGACAGTTTCTATACTGTGCATACATTAATGGTCAATTCGCAATGGGAATATTGCATTTAGTTTGTTTACAATCGGAAGTAATTGCCGCCCATTATATAATACGCAATGACTACACATGGCAACTGCTACCAAACCCAATACTTATTATTCAATTAATTTCAATCAATCAATCAATTTAATTTAAATTTCCCAGTTTCCAACTTTATTTATAATATTTGTCTTAATGTAAAATGTTTTAACTGTTTCTCCTTAGTTTGTTATTGTATTGTAAGAAAAGTAGTGTTAGATGATATGGAATGTCGTTGATATGCAGTGTGAATTGATTAGGTTTGATTGGAAAGTGGTGACAAAATCGAGGCGCGAAGTGTGAAGACTGGTTACGAAGCGGTGAGGAGGCGGGCGTCTAATTGCCGCGAAGAAAGGGAAATATCAAGAGATCTGCAAATTACATAAATTTTCCAATCATTCACGTGTAAAACGTGCGACGTCCTTTCGAGCTATTTCCATCATTATGCATTGGAGCTGCAATTAGCGCACGGAATTAGCATAAGAGAATACAAAAAAAAATAAAATAAACAGAAAACTTGAGGGTAAAATGCATATTCATCGGTAGACGGTGGCGCAATTACGGTAATGGGGTCGTAATTCGAAATTCGACCGCAACCC